ATTAAAGCAGTAAAATCTATATTAAGAAAATCGTTAGTTTTATTTTGAGTTCTCGTTTATAACATGTCAAAAATATTTCAGATTCAAAATATGCTAATGCATTTTTTCATTATTGTAAAAGTAATTTTCAAAACAATTATGTTGTGTACCTTCTCAAAAGTTTTTTTAGATAGATTTAAATTACCAGGTTAAAGAAAACGTCTAAATTATTTAAATTTAGCTTTTAGAATTTGGTGTTATGATTTTGTAAATGAAATTTTAAGGTAAGCTATAATCTGCAACCCTCGAAACCAAACCTTTTGGTCAACTGTGTGAAGAAACCGCAAAATGTGTTTGGCATCATTAGGAAAATATTAAATTTCCTCTGCCCAAGTCCAGATTGTCCTGGCAAAAGCAGGGCTTTAATTGCTGTGAATGCGAATACTTAAAAGTTGTTGCCTTTTATGCGGTTGCCGTCAAAGCGAAACTCAATTAAGCTGCAGTCACCACCCCACATAGCATAACTCCACCCCTGAGTCACCCCTGATTTTTCCTTCAGATTTAAAACTGCTGATACGGCAGTTGACGACGGCAGGCGACAAGGACATCAATGAGGACGCTTTGTCATGGTTGCCCAGCGACCAGCCACCGAATGCCTTTTCAAAGGCATTTTTAATTGAAATTATCCGATGCTACCTTTTCAGCTTCGCCAGCGAATTCTCATTTGAAATTTGCGTTTTTCTGCTTTGTTACCTTGCAGTCGGCGGTTGATTGACATGTGAGTCGTCGTCCTGCTTCCTTTTAAACTTTCCTTCGGCCCCAGCTTGTTTACATCTTAGTGCGCTAATAGCGGCCTTAAGTCTCCGAACGATACGCCATAAATCCATGTTAATAACGCCATCGTAAGAGGGGATGCAGTCGTGTCTCAATTCGCAGAGACAATAGTACACAGAAAAAAAAAAAATAAAAACAGTCACAAAATAATTATAATATTAAATAAATACTTTAAAATATCCGCGGAAGATGTAACTTTTTAATACACACAGTATAAAACAGTGGTCGACAAATCACTCATAAAATTATAATCTGATTACAATTCACCATTTACCTATAACTATCAAACCACTTCAAATATCAACTAAGGTCAATTTATTTTAAATAAGCAATTTTTTCAGTGTGAGACTCTGTAATGGCCAGGGCTGGGAGACTTAAAACTCAAAGACATTTAAGTAGATTAAGCGACTTTCATGTCCTCAGTCTGTGGGACATCAACCCAAATGAACGACGACAGTGAAACAATTCACGAGGCACGCCCGGTGGCAAAGGACTTGAGCACGGCGAACAGGCAGGATATAAAACCTAAAACCCGGCAATATGCCTTGCCAGTTGCCACTCGAAATATATGCAAATATAGTCCTTGAGCGTGGGCGTGGCAGAAGGGGCGTTGCAACGGCAGCAGCAGCATCAGCAGCAAACAATGAAAGTAAATGCCAAAACATTTTATTGATTATCAGGCGAAAGGGAAGCTTAGACAGTGGATACGGTTTATATATCTTTGGGTTAAAACATTTTAAATATGAATATTTTGGTACAAAAATTAAGTATCTCTTGATGTTACATAAAATATTTAAATACATTTTTTAAAAATTTAACAATTTATATAAACTGCTTCAAAACAGTAAACGGTTATTTTATATTTATTTATTTATTTAGCCCATATAAAACATATAAAACAATAAAACATATAAAAACATGGCATGTCCTCTCTATATATCTATTTGTCTCCTTTTTTGCCTAATTAACTAGTTTTTTTTAAAACTAGTATTAAAGAATATAAAATGAGTTTTTGAAACTATTTTTCCTTGTTTCCTAAATAATCAAGACTTCATTCCACCGTGCTTGGTCCTTCAACTGCCATTAGTCGGCGCCGGCGAGTGTGCTACACTTTTTTGCAGTAGTCTGACGACAATGCGAACTGGAGTCCTGAGGTCCTGAAAACCGGAGTGTGGATCTGGTTCTTTGGTATGGGTAAGAGCATTGAGCATTTTAATAACCGCAGTGGAGTAGCGCGGAAATCGGAGAACGGGAAACGATGGGCGGCCATAAATTATGCCACCCACCGACTGCAAAAGGGCGAAAACATTGACAGTCGTCGTCCTTCGTGGGCCGCCCGTTGAGCGATTTGTAATACACAACTCCCTGTTTGCCACGATTGCTCTTTTCGCTGGCGTGGTGTGGCCCAAAGGACCTCCTCCTGGTTTTCCAATGCGTTGGAAATTTTAAACTCTATCGTTAGAGATAGCAATAGAAGAAAAGTAAGGGAGCCTCGAGGCTTCCAAGTGGTCAGTGCGGCGTCATAATGCAATTGTATAATTTTCTTAAAAGCTCACTGTCGACGACAATAAAATGTAACAATAATACGCAGCTCGAGTGCACTTAGGACCGATTCAGAGATCACAAAAGGCATTACAGAAATTAAAAGTGCCCCCAAAATGGGCAATGAACCCCGACAACCAACACACTCATTTGGTCAAAGAAAAACAATCAGGCAAATGGTGTGAAAGAGGGCATTTTAGCTAATTGAAATGAGTTCGCAAATAAAATGTTTGCCAAAAAATAAATAGAAATAAACGAACAAATCCTCGGCTGCCTCGTGGAGTCACGTTTCAGCTGCGGGGCTTAGCCCAAAGCTCCTTGTCCTCCTTTCGCAGGACCACCTGTGGCTCCTGCTGCTGCTGCTGTTCGCCAGGATCACGTCTCAGGTGCGAAATGAAGATTTATAAAATGGCAAATTGATTTAACGTGCCAAGTGTTTCTTAATACCACCGACGAGTTAATAAAATTTTAATGTACCCCCCAGGGAATCTTTCTCTTTCCCTCACGTGGTTCAATTTCACCCCCGAGACTTTGGTAATTGAGGGTTAAACTAGCGAGTTGTGTGGCCTCATCAACAGGTATTTTCTGTACAGGATTTTTATGACTACTTGCGGCTTGTTAGTTCAAACATAAATAAATAATGCATGAGGCAGCTTTAGCGTAACAAGCTCAGCTCGATTTTATCCCTCAGGTCTGTCGCCCAAAAAATTCAGAAATTTGAATACTTGGCCGCATCACGTTTTCCGATTTTTCTTCTCTTTTCTTTTTTTTGTATTGCCAATCGCGCTGCGCATTTTTTATTATTTTTTTGCCTCCTCCTTATTGGTAATATAATACATTCAATTCGGTTTTTCTGGCTTTCCTTTCCGCAAACAGAGCGCGGAAAAATTCAATTAAATGTAATCGCATCTATTCCTTCTGCACCCGTGACTGATTGTTCTAAGGGCGCGAAGAAAAGTGCGGAAAGAATTGAAATTAAAATTGAATAAATAGCCAAATAAACACGCTCTTTGAAAATAAATGCTAATTCAGGGCTTTTTTCTCAAGTTTCCACTTTTCTTTTATTATTTTTCACCACCCATCTTAAGTGTGCAGAGGCACGTGCCAAGCGAAATCCTTTTAATGTGTCGCCAAAGTTGAGAAACTCGATATAGAAAGTTAATAAACGAAAGAAATTGTTGCTCAAGGATTTGTGATTCAGCTTTCTATGATTTTTTTTTTTAATAAATTACAGTTTATATTTTTTATATTTATATATTAAATATTTTGTTATAAATTTGGTTTTAAATTATACATATTCCAGATGCCAAAACAAATTTTACCTCAATCTAAATTTTGATTTCTAGTGTCCTGCTGTTTTACCCAAATTTAAACCCAAAAGGGAAACCTGGACTTTATATCAAATTAGGAAGCCTGAAAACTTTTCAATTACCATCGGATTCAATTAATAATACTGCTTTGCAGGTGCTCCATACGTTTCGACTAACCAGCTTAAATGGGGAAAAAACGTTTTCCATTTAGCAAGGACGCAATGAAATTCAATTAACCTCAAGTGGATGCCACAACAGCAGGATTCTCCAGGATTCGATGATGAAGGCATAAAACAAAGCAGGCAGCAACTGCGGTGGCAGTCACACCTCATCATCGTCAACAGAGGGCTATTTTATGGAGTTGGATCTGATAGGATGGGGGTAGTAAGGAGTAAGGATGCTGCAGAACATCCCCCGACTGTTTGCCAGCGTTTAGCTTCAGACCAAAAGGCGATATATTGCCACCCGGGGTTATCGATGCCATATTAAACTTTCACTGCCGCTGGCTTTTCACGATGAAAAGTGCTCTGTTGAGAACCCGGTATGATTAAGAGCTGAGCAAACAAATCACGAACCAGCTGGATTGTTTGCTTAGCCAGTGTCTAAACATCGCTCTCGACTGTTTTTTAAACTGTTTGCCAAGCGGTTCGGAGATTCGTGGAACAACCCCGTGTAATTAAGATTTCAATTTTGCTCATCGGGCAAATGTATCTCTTGTGCTTCAATGCGTTTCGTCCTTCTTCCTTCGGTAAATAAATTGTGTTTCAGGGCAATTTTTACTGCTCTTTCGTGTTGACATATGCAAATTTTCTAGCACCGCCCACCACAATTCACAAAAGTTTTCTGATTACTTTTAAGCATCCTGGGGAATGAGGGTCGAAATAGACCTGCTTATTTGCCAACTTGATGGTTGCCTTTGTAGGCGGTTCAATCGCATCGATTGTTTGCTCTTTGCTGGTTTTATTACTCTCGAATTCGAATAAATTAAAAACTGTACAAAAAATATACAACAACTTTCTATTTAAAATATTTAATAAAAATGAAATGAAAAATGTCCAAATATCAAAACATAAAAGTTTAAAACTTTAAAATTTAAGAAATATTATTAAAATCCTAATAATCTGTAATATATACTGTTCACCTTTTAGTAATTAATTTTTTATATGTTCCACATTTATTAACCATAGAACCCCATTTAAATTGTAGAAAAATTTAAAGAAATATAAATTTAAATAATCATGTTTTAAACATTTTATTTAATTTTCTTATGCACAAAAAAAACTGTTTTTCCCATGTAAAAAATATATTAATTGATTTCAATTTTGTTAAATTTATTTAATTTTAAGTAACTTATTTTATTTACATAAAATCACATTTAATTTCCATTATAAATTTAAAACAATACCACAATAAAAACAATTTGCTAATCATAGATTTTATATCGATATGGATTGATATGATGTTGCTATGATATTCTTTAGGTTCATTGAGAGATATAATAGCAGGGAGTAGCGATAAGAACTACTCCCACGCGACCGTTCGAATTACGGGATCCTTTGATACCGACTCCAAGCAACTGAGAGCTGGATTCTTGGGCTTCCAGACGCACTTCCATATCCACATCTCCGCCAGTTCCGTCGGCAGTGCAGCCACAGCAAACGGGGTCCTTGCCAAGGCATATCCTTGTGATATCGAGGGGGATTTCCCTTTATCTTTTTCCTCTACTTTTTTCCGGGCTGCGCTCCCTTCTCACGTCCGATTCCTGGGCGTCGATTGTGGTTTGTGTGTGGCGCCAGTGACAGAGACGGGATTTTTATAGCTGCCGCCGCCAGGACGAAGCTTTTTTCGACTCCCCCCGAAAACTTTCGTGTTGAGTTTGAACAGCACTGAGAAGAGAGTGTTGAGTTTCCCCCACGAAAGTGGCAACAATTGTTGCCGCCTAATTGGATGTATATAGATACATGCTTCTGTGGCATTTAGGTAAATAACCATACTTGTATACAGAGTTCCCACAGTGTGAGTATGTGTGTGACCTTATGCACACAAGGACAACCAGGAGCAAAAGGAGGAGCCAGGACCTTTCATCGCAATGGCCGCCATTTGAAAATTTCGCCGAGCTTGGCATAAAATTAAATGTTATTTAAATTATTCCCGCTCTTTCGGGCCTAATCCTTTTTATTCCTGCGCGTAAGTGATTAAAGCCATTAACGAAATTATCGAGGATTATAAAGATTTGTACGGGACTTCGCAGCGGGTGCTCTTTGGGAAGACAATGCCATTTCCCGTAATCCAGGGGCTTCAATTAATGGAGTGTCGACGTCGTCGCCCACTCGCAAAAAAGGGTTGCTTTCCCGCCCACCCGTCGCTGAAAAGTTGGCGTTCGCAATTAGAAAAGGGGTTGCTTTCAGATTTCCTGTTTCACGAAATGCCTTTATCTATTTTTGAACATTGCATTTCGTCGCCTTTTGCCGCCTGCTGACGTCAATGGACCATAGCTTTTCCATAGTTTCCAACATAGTTTTAATTTCTCATTCGGCGGAAAGCGGAGAAAAGCTTTTCCACACTCACCTATTTTTTTGGCTTGCATCAATTGCAGCTTTTTTACAATTTTATTGGCTGGGCTATAAAATAAATTAATTGTAAAAGTATAAAAAAAATGTGGTGTCAACAGCTCACAGAAAAAATACAATAATCAAGAAAAATGTACCATAGACTGCAAACTAAGTGAAAGTGGGTAGATCTATTAATCAAAATGAAATGAAAGTGTAAGAAGTTAAAGTACTACTATAGCAGTAGTAGCTGAATGTCAGAAAAATAAAAGACAAACAATGGAATAGTAAGCTTTGAAATTATGCAAAATAAACACTAAAAACCAAATATAATGAAGGAGGTATCTGATGCAGATTCTAAAATGGTAGAAATAAGTAAGAAGACACAAGAAGAAGAGCCCCTCAGATTGGAAGATCCAAAGTCTGGAGAGGAGCCCACGACCCACCGTTCTAAGGAAGTATTCCTCAGAAAGCACAGTTATACTTCACCAGATTCAACAAGTATCAAAGAAGACAAAAACTGCGAAACTGAAACTAGCGAAAATAAATATGAAATAACTGTCAATAGTGCTAAACTAAAATCCAATCCACTTCCCGATCAAGAAAGCTTATCTTATCTTTCTGTCTCCTTACACGGTGAATGTAGACCTCAGGACACCCATAATAAATGCGATGGAAATATTGGAATACACTCAGATATCTCTCGGCTTTCTGAGGTTTCATTTGATTCAGAATTTAATTCTGATTCAAGTGAGGAGTTATTCGAGGATGATATTATGCTTAAGAAGAAAAAGAAGAGAGATTTAGTGAAAACTGAGAGACTTGAAGATCCCGAGGAAGAGTTTAGGAGACATTTTCTTAAAACTTTTCAAGATCTGCCTAGAATATCACAGATCTCTTTGGACGGTGAACCCAAAAAAAATAAAAGTAAGGAACAAAATTGGGAAACAGAAAGAAATGCAGAAGAGAATCCAAGTATTTCGAATGAAAATATAGAACAGTTAACCGAAAATAATAATAGTCGTGGTAAAACATCAATTTCAACAGATGTAAAAAATAAAAAAATAAGAATATTAATATTGCAGAAAATTTTACCGAAGATCTAACAAAAGAAGGAGAAACAACAACAAACATTCAAGAAGAAGATGTTATTAATAAATAGTCTTCATATTCTAATGAAAAGAATGTATAAGAAAAAAGTTTATTTCATTTCTTTTTTCCAAAACACCCAACATAGATATTTTTTGGGAATCACATTCAGAAATTTTCCTCCCTTTTCTGCCCTGACCACTTCAAAGTCTGTTCATCACCCGAGCAACCGTCTCGATGAAAAAATTTCGGGGCAACTTCATGACGCTAAATTAACTAGCAGACATTTCTATTAGCTCTTTGGAATGAATGCCAAGGCAATTTACGCTTAATATATGCATGATGCTGTCCGCCCGATAACACTCGAAGAATGCCATGAGTTTTGGATGGGTGGTGGGTTGTGGGTTGAAGGTTGAAGGTTAACGGTCCTTCTCTCCCAGGTTGTTGGGACAACGCCACCGCCCTTGTTGCTATCTATCTATATCTTTATCTTTGGGCGGCACGTGGAAAAGTTTCGTTCGTTTAACTTTGCCAGTCGACTCTTAATGAATTTAATGACTTGGAAATGGCCACCTACTGATTTGTGAATTTTAATTTCACAGGGATTTCTTCAACCGGCAGAAAGACACAAATGTGCATTCATTTATATTCACTTCTGTTGGAAATTTACATGATTTTTGTATGATTTTAAAATTAATATATTTTTAAACAAGTTTACTGTATTCCTAGATTTTTAAAAAGCCTGCAAATGTGTCTATATGAAAGGAAATTTGGTATTCAAAAAGTGTACAACAAAAAATTGGTTCTAAAAACCCAATAATAAAAAATCCTGGATCCACCACTGACTTTCTTCTGACAACAACATCATATAAATTTTATATCATAATTTAAAAGTTTTTTTCATTTCCTTTTCAAGGAATTTTGTAATACAATTTTAAAAATTGCTTTTCCAAATCAAAGCTAGCAATCAAATCGAAATGTGATCAGAGTAATCGGCTAAAATCAATCGTTTCCCCTGGGAGGGTAATTTGTATACTGGTATCATCCCTGCAGAAGGGTATACGAATCTTTCAGATATCTTCTCCTCAGCCAAAGGAGCAGGAGATCATGGGCAACAACAATTGCCGTCTGAGGGAACTCCCAGACTCCCAAAGTACCTTTTCACACATGAGCGCGCCAGGATGGCAGACGTTGATGAGGGGTTGGGATCCAGAACCCCCCTCCGATTTCTGTTGTTGTAAATCACAAAGTGAAACCGAAACCGTTAACGTGTTGCGGTTACGCTGTGTGGCAAAAAAATAAGGCAAAAAAGCAGGGAGTGCCGAAGCAAGTCATTCCATTTGTGAGGCTTTATTAAATGCGCACTGAGTTTGGGGGGCAATGTCCTGTCTCGGCTTTTTATTGCGATTTTTTTCGCAATGTTTTCGCTCTTTGTGTGAGTTTATCAAACTCCTTACATTTGTTTTCCTGTAAAACGGGGGCAACTTCCCCGAGCAAACTTTTCTTATTTAATGATTCCTTTTAGAGAATGCCAAATCGATGGGGGAAAACCGAAAGCCGGTTTCGCATTTCAACTTGAGAAATGTGAAATTGTTCCAGTTCCTTATTTTTTTCCTTTTTTGGCCTCCCGAAGATTTGTCAAATCTTTGACACAATGATGCATAACGTTATCTGAGATTTGGCAAGTGAAAAGAAAAAATAACAACAAGCGACTTTGCGAATTAATCTTCTTAATGTCTGGGTCTTATAACCATGGCCACTAAGTGGAGTGCTTAGAACTTGGAATCACTTAATGCGATTGGCCAAAAAAAGAGTGTGATCTTGGGTAGACTACCGAAAATATTTCTGCTAATTGCTGCAATCGTTGGGAATGCAACTAGGCAATGTGTATCCATGGGAGATACTCAGTGCACTTTGGAAGGTCATAATCATATCAGCTTCCGCACGATTTAACAGCAACGCAATTTTGATGGAACCCAGACCAGACCGAGAACGTCAGCATGGCAACCGACTGTCTGTCCATCTTCTTTTGGATTTTCACACTGAAAAAATAAGGAAAATTCATTTTTTATACATACGTACTTAGTACTAGAATAATCGCAATGCGCATGGTAAAATTCTGGTATTGCATACGAATTGATGTGACCGCATATTACATAACCACATAACATCGAATCATAAAAAATTTTTTTTATAAAAACAAAGGAGAATTAAGAGTTAAACGGAATTAGAAAAAATCTTATTCAGGTCCTTAAAATTATGCAGTAAAATATATTGTTGCATACTTTTAGACAGCTTTAGAAGTGGAATTAAAAGTCTTGTAATTTCTCGAATACTCTTCTCTCGTAAGATTGGTTAAGTTCAAAAATGATTTGAATTTATTTTGTAAAATGAAATCTCATCTTTATTTCGCCATGTGTCCTGTATTCCATTCGATTTTGCTCAACACTTTTTTTGGCTTCGCATTGATTGCTCCACAATTGCGCAATTTCGCTCACTAAAAGCATTTCAAAAAGTACCAGGGAATGGGGCTTCCTTTTGCCTGCTGCCATGACGTATAAGCTCCGATAAAAACTGTTGTTCGATAAGCATTTTGTTTGCCCTGTGCCGGGAGTTGTTATGGAGTCTGTGCCTCACTGTAAGTCACGAACTCTTGTGGTAATTCAGGGGGCTGTTGTAGAGAAGCCATAACGAATCAGTATTTTATGTGGAACTTGGCAAAGTTCTATGGAAATGTTTTGCAATTGTAAGGAAATTCCAAATACTTGTGCAGGGGGATGGTAAATCTTGCCCTTATATATAATTCCAGTAATTACTGCTCACTGATAAATTAAATTAATTTTAGAATTTGTATTTATCACAAAAAAATCGTGTAGGTGTCCTGCTAAATAGGTGCCCTTAGAAGTGTGCTATAAATAATTTATGTTTTGCAAAATTCCGTCTGCCCTTTCCCAAAATATCCTGCAGCTTAGTCACTCCCACACACATAAGCGCATACACATGATATTCATTATGAACGGCTTAAGCGATTTCCCCAGGGCCCAGGAGCTTAGTCCTTCACGCAGACACACTCATGCATATGCACACATATATTTGGGTTTTTATTTCCCTTTATGAATGGTCCTTTTGAATGGAATCCGATTTGACGAGCAGTCGAAAAAAGGAGCTCGTCAGCAAATTGGCAGCTCAAAAAAGCAGGCAAAACCAATTCTCAACCTGATTGTTGGCTACATCAATCAGGATATCATGTTTTACATGCTGGGGAAAACATGAAAATAACACAGGTCAACAAAATGGACTTTATTAAAAGGTGCAGGCCTATTGGCATTAAAACATGTTAATATAGACGTATATAAGCATATCTGCATACTTAGTTTTCGCGTTTAACGGGTGGTATTTGGGCAATCGCGGTTTGAAAAAAATAGCAACATTTAATTTTTTGATTTAAGATATCTTCGAGGGTCTGTGTTCAGTTGTAATAATACCTATGCCAAAAAATTGCTTAGATGCCCTTCTACATAATTGCATTTAAGGTTCCATCATTATTTCAGTTAATAAAAGCCTATGAGCCATTGAAGAAATTTGTTCACCTCTATTCCCAACCAACTTGATGCGGTGAACAGGCTTAAAAAAATACAAGGAAAAATATGTGCCCTAAAATATTTTACAGGCATCTAGAGGCGTCTTTCACCGAATTTTTAAGACAAATAAGACCATTGTACGTCGAAAGATGGAATTTATAGAATTTTTTCTTTAAGAACTTAAAAAGTAACAACTATTTTTAAATCCCATTTTACATAAATATCTGACACATTCGTAAAAATGTGCCTTTCAATTTGGTTAGCAGTAGGCGCCGAACATAGACAAATTATATTTTTAAGGGGTTAATATGCCTTAAACAAAATCCCCACCACAATTTTAAGGCGACGCCACTGTTATTTTTAAAAAGCCTACTGTGTAAAATCACGACAAACTCGTTACGTAAGAGTGACTCCAAAATACTTGTTACTTTTCCCATTCATACGGAAAAAATTCTATAAATTCCATTTTTCGAAGTACAAAAGTGGGATTTATCTCAAAAATTCGGGAAAAGACGCCTCTAGATGCATGTAAAATATTTTAGGGCACATATTTTTCCTTGTATTTTTTTAAGCCTGTTCACCGCATCAAGTTGGTTGGGAATAGAGGTGAACAAATTTCTTCAATGGCTCATAGGCTTTAATTAACTCAAATAATGATGGAACCTTAAATGCAATTATGTAGAAGGGCATCTAAGCAATTTTTTGGCATAGGTTTTATTACAACTGAGCACAGACCCTCGAAGATATCTTAAATGAAAATATAAAATGTTGCTACTTTTTTATAACCGCGATTGCACAAATACCACCCGTTAAACTCGAAAACTAAGTATGCAGATATGCTTATATCCGTCTATATTAACACAATTTAATGCCCATAGGGCTGCACCAAAAACACTGTTGGCCTGTGTAATAATTAACGCTCATAATTTTCCACTCCCCAAAAATGGACAACAATTCGTTTCTTTTGCTAATGAAAATAATCTGTCATCAAAGCCAAAAAGCCACCCCCTGTGGGAACAGGTGCTCGTGGCTTTTCCGTTTTCCTGTTGCTGTTTTTCTGGACACGCCTCTAGATAAACTGATATACTATATATGATTATATTTGGTTCCCAGCTATTAACTGAACATAAATCGGGGGGAAAAGAAGGGTTGAAAGGTTGGCGGACGGAAATTGCATTTGTGCTGTCCCAAATCAGATAAGAGCCCTCGTCCTTGGCCAGGATATGACATTAAAAGCGCATCAAAGCCGAATGACGAACAGAGGCTACGCATCAGCAGCGGAAACTGTTGCCGTAATTACATTCATGGCGGAGAGAAAAAATTGTCAAAAATATCAGTTTGACATTGCGAATTTTCGGTACTCTTAAAAAATATTATTATAAAAAATTTTAAAAGAAGAGTTGAAATACAAAATTTTGTTTAACAAGAGTTGTACGAAAATCATACAATTTTAAAATCTCTTTTTAATATGTCTAAAAGTATGCAATATTTTTTATTAGTTTTATGTGGCGTTGTTCTGAAACACTTGCATACACTGTTGCATACTTTTGAACACCTTTATAAATTATTTTACAAGTATATTTTAGAAAACAGCACAGTGAAATATTTAGTTTTAAGGTTTTTATATTTTTATTTACTATTGCATTAAAGAAGAAAGAATTTCTTATATCGTATGTAAAAGGTGCAAGCCATTTGTTATTTCTTAGATTATTCTTTTGATTTTATGTACATTTATAATTCCCTACAAAGACTTTATCATAGCTAAAGGCCCCGTAACCCTGTCATACCCTTTCCTCATCCAATAAGGAGCTCATTGCTGGTCATTTGCGCACTCCTTAAGTCCTGAATGCTTAGCCTCGCCCGCAGGCTCATCTTTGATTTGGTCTTTGTTAGCGCCGTTAAATTAAATATCCTTTCCCAGTCGCTCGACCTCTGTGCTCTCATTCCGGCTGTCCAGAGGACAATGCCAGCAATTCCAGTCATTTCCTTAATAGAAATCTTATCTCTTTTGTGACGCCTTCGCCTTCGCCGTGCGCCTAAGCCGGATATCGCACCTTTGACATCTGCCGCTTGGCCCCTTTGGACAAAGCAGCCCAGTGCCGAGCACTCATAGAACACTCACTTCCGGTCCGGCTTTTTGGGAGAAAATCATTTGGAAAAATTGGGTGTTTATTTATACCAACATTAGAAGACGACACTAGAACCATGAGCTCTTGCTGTGGATCCCAGACGCCGAGATGTTGTGAGTGTCCGCCCGGTTTGAGGCTGGAGAAGACCCCACAGGCGCCCGTTTTCGACATGCTGGGTCCGCATCCGGATGAGGTGATCATGACGATCCTGGATCGCATTTTGTATCTTTCGGGCGCCACCAAAATAATTCCCATGCTGGAGTTGGCGGGCTATGGTTAGTTTTAAAAGGGTTTCAAGGGATAAAAGGTTTCTAATATAAAAGAAAATTTCAGGATCATCTCTTAAAAAGGAATCCTGTCCACCGACATCCACTTGCACTTCCGCTAGCACCTCGGTTCCTCCTTCGTCCTCAATGTGGAACACCTGCTGCTCCAAGCCGCCCAGTACTACTAACACCTGTTGCTCCAAACCGACGAGCAGCTGCGGCAGTCGAAAGGTTACTCCAGTAACCTGTATTCCAAAGGTTCCTACTCCCTGCACTCCAAAATCCTGTTGCAAGACCTCGAGTCGCCTGAGTGCCGCCGCCTGTTGTCCTCGGCAGCGAACTCCTCGCGTGGATTTTGATCATCCGGCGGATATTATTCCTTTGCGGAAAAAGGCGGGCGGAAGTGCGACAATCAAAGAGCGCATGGATAGCCCAATTTCCACCTGTTCGGTGGCCTGTCATCAACTGAAAACGAAGCTGGCATCGCAGGAATTTTCCGGGGGCAGTGGCAAGGATCAAAGGTGGCTGTGGACCCGCTTGATTCGCGGCAACGATGGCTGCATGGTGTACGAGGTCTACAAGGAATCCGATGCGGATAAATCGCCCTCCAAAATCGGATCGGAGGCACCCATCATCCTTTTTCTGGTCATGCCGAACGGTTATATTATGCCCTTTGAGTCGATTTGTAGTCCTTGAAGATGAAAGGTGTGCTATTGCATACTTTCTTAATTGTGTGGTCAATTTAAAGAATAAACTCTTACCCGGATTTTTGTTTGGAATATTTTTATAATACAAGTATATATCACACATTTTTTTAAGCTATACGTATACCCTTTCTCAGCATAATAAAAACAGCTCCAGAGCAAACAAATATGTAGACGGATAGTATGGCAACGGATTCCACATCATTTCGATGACCAGGGTCCAAGGACATATTGACCATTCCGGTGAGAAAGTTGGACAGCATAAAGTGGGTCAAACCATTGGTGTTTAGACTCTCCACAAAGGTGGGCAGGCTGAGGCTCTTTTCCTTGCCATCTCCAGACGCTTTCTTATTATTAAAATCTACGTTAACAAGTTTCAGTTCAAAGAAAAAGGCATAAATCACAATAAGACTTAGGCACACAGCGGAAATCCAAACGACATAGCCAAAACTAAATGTAACACGTGCAATGCCTGTTAAGTATGAACTTATAAAAGTCAAAAGCCAGCAGATAATGGCCAACAAAAGGATTTTCCTTAACTTGATGATTAGATCTGGATAACTGAGGTGATCCCGGGAGGTATACCACTTGGCAAAGTAAATGCTGAGCAGATAGAGAGCCACGCAGCCATGTAGAGAACTCAAGCCTTCGCGATTGCCACTGAAAAAGCCCTCGTGGGGTGCAGAGGACATCACAAATTCGGAGAGACCCATTTGGAGCAGCAGTTCATGCAGGAAAAGCAGACCTTAAAATGAAAAGGAAAAATTATTACAATCATTTTAAGATGCTATTCTTGCAACATACCCAATGAAAGTCCCAGAAGCTGTTCATCCGACTTCACCAAAAGACTGTAGAAGCTGCCCATCAGTTTGGTGAGGCCCAGGATAAAGAAGGCATTCAAATGCCGACCATATTCCGTCTCATCCTGATGATAATCAATCGCTGCAATAACAATAGTGCGAGCCAATCCCAAAATCAGCAAGGGAAGCACAGATCTCTTTAGTTTCTTCAGGTCAGCGGTGTTTCTCGTTCGTTGGGAAACCAATCCCATAGTCACCACAAACAGGCCAATGCCCATGTCCATCGTGGAGGCACCGAAAGTCCTGCTTTTCCGGTAATCAAAGGGATAGGATGGAAAGTCCACGGCCAGAATGGCGGCACAGGTTCCACTGTACGCGGTGGCCCTCAGCAGGGTGAAGACTATGGGTCGTTTGCCGACCTCATATCTGAGTTTTGGCACTTCGTGAGGGTTATTTTTATAGGTATAAGCTAAAACACCTAAAGAAACCACCAGGGAATAGGTGTAGCTATATGCACTGCCCACGGTGACCAAAATGACGGTGGGTAATCCAATCAAAAGGAACTCCAGCAGGAATCTCCGCGTGGATAGCACCGGCAGGTGTCCACAAAGCAGGCGGGAAAGGATGAAACCCAGCACAGTGGGTATTGTCACCAAAAAACTATCCAAACTTTCCTTAACAGATCTCCAGGAATTCAGATCCAGTTGGCTTAACTCGTGTTTTATAAAACCACCCTCCTCGGCCTCCATTGTGCATAGTTTTTGAAGTTTCTGGAGTCAAAATAACTTAAAAAATTAAGAATTGTAAAAATAGATTTTGCCGGTAAAATGTAAACAATAATAGTGATGGCACTTACTCGATCAAATTATCGAATTTCCCACCGATAACAAACCCAAAGACATGGTCACACTTTGCAAATTCAAATTTAAAAAAAGAATAGTTTATAATACCGATTTATTTTGGATCTGGAAAATAAGCAAAATAAATGCATTTAATCACAATTGTGGCAATCTACAGCTCGTTGTGCTGCGTTTTGGAGGGATTTTCTGATGACTCGCGTGGGAATTCCTTGTGGCTAAGTATTTCCTTGGCTGCCTCATCGACGAGATGCACAAATTCCTGGACATCAAAGCTATAGTTGGTGAACTTGGCATGGGCCCCGCCCTCGGGATGATGTCCCTCGTCCTGCGGATAGACCAGCTCCCGCTGCTCCCACGTCCGATAGCGAACGCCACGCAGGCGAGCCAGATCCTTGTAGCAATTGGGATCCTCGCAGTTGTAAAGCTCGAAGATGCAGGCCCAGTTGGGCAGGAAGAGCAAGTGCGTCAGTCCAGCGCCATGCATGCCGATGAGTATGTCCGTGTTGCGGGTGATGGCCAACTGATCGGTGAAGGAGAGTCTGTAAAAGAATTATAATTAGTTAAGTGTTTAAAAGGAGGTAGTATCTACCTTTCGTAGGAGACGCGCTGCACGGAATACAAATCGTTCTCCTCCAGCGGAGCCAGCAGCTCATCTTCATTCAGCACTTGGCGGTACTTTGTGCGTCGTGATAGGTAGGTTATCCTGATCTTTTGCTGTGGCGGCCTGTAGGGAATCTGCAGCCGGTGCAGGATGAACTCGGAAAAGGCTCGAAACAGTCCACTATTCGAGCAGCCTTGGATCTAAAAAAGAAATAATCAATTTAATAGTTGTTTTGATCTTCTATTTCCCCTCTCCCACACAGAAAGAAAACCGATATGAAATAGGGTTATTTCTATCTTGTTTCAATAAAAAACCGATATGATTTATGTCAAATTTAAGATCCAAGCATATCAACATGATATTTTATCATATCATAAAAATACCAAATGTAGTATTTTTTGAGTAAATAATATAAAAAAAGATTAACATAATCTTTATTCATATCAAAATGTTATGAAAATTGACCATTACCATTTCATTTTTTGTACACTTACTATGGGTGTATTGTAGAACAATCCAAAGATCATCCTGGGCAGCAGGGGCAGCACAACGTTCTTGAAGCACACCCTTTTGCCCTCCACATCGCTGAGCGTCCAAACGGGCCGCTGTGAGAAGGCCTTGAAAGTATCCCTAAAAGGCGAATCATAAGGATACGTTTCCCAAATAAGTATCTGCACATCCGTGTTGAAAGCAGCCGGATGCGATTGGTTGACAAAGAGCGAGGCATAGAGATTAAAGAAGTCGCAAAAATGATGATACATATTGTAGGTGGCGTCGATTTTCATGATGAAAGTGGGCGTATTCACGACGACATCGCAGAGACCGCTTTCCAGTACGGGATGAGGTAAAACCTCAAAGTTGCGCAGCTCCGGACCCCAGGATTGCAGGGCCGAACCAATGTGCTCCATTTCACCTGAGAGCCTAGTTCGATTTAGGTCACAGTGGCCCAGGAGTTGACCAGGACTTAGAACATCCATGTGGTAGCGTATCCGCTCTTCTCTGTTAACCAAGTCCCGAAAGTCGAAAAGGAGATTCCTGCCGCGACAAAAGCGCAGATAGTGGGTGCACTCCAGCGAGGAATCACCCAGATAAGTGGGCACACATTGCGGCGCCAACTGGGAGAGCTGCTCCTGGATGTAACCAAAGTCTGCTTGATTGTAGAAGGTCCTTAATTGCGCATCCTTGCTCCTGGCCCAGCCGGTGTGCTCCCCGGGGCACTGGGGCGTCTGGAAGCGGTGATCCGGCTTGCAATCCCTTTCATGACCCCAGCAGGCGGATGAAATGGTCGCCTTCGCATTGCCGGTGAGATTCGTGGTCAGCTGTTGTTTCAGTTTGGGAAATGTGTTCAGGTACCGGATGAGGTGCTCCGAGGGAAGACTGGGCAGGCTGAAGCCATCCACGAGCTTGGCATCCTGGTGAGAGTGGCTTAAGGACAGTGGGAGCATCAGTAGCCCCATGAGAATTGGCAGGATTGGCATCTTGAGTTCTTCGGTTCGTTAAAATTTAAGTACTTCGTTGCATGCGATTTTCAAGCGATTTTCCAGCGATTTCCCCGGCGATTTCTCACGCTTTTGCTAGCAGCATCTTCAGGTGCATTTCTCGGCCAGCGATGATGATGATCTCACCTGGCCTTAAGCGGCTAGAAGATGATTATGAGCGTCTAATGTTATTGTCCATGTTAATTGTTCGCCGAAGAAAAGAAAAAACCTGTCCGCCAGTGTGACCGTTCGTGTGCTAAGTACAAGCCGCTACAACTTACACTCCGCGACAACTGAATAGGTCAAGTACGTTGAATATTTTATATATATTTATTTTATTTAGTATTTATAATTTTTAGATAATATAATTTATATCATCTTAATTTATGAATATTGTAACAGATTTATGTTTTGTATTTCTCTATACAACATTTATTTTGACATTATAAATAGTCTAAAAGTGTTCATAATACAAATATTTTGGATATATATAATTATTAAATCCGTAATAAATGTGAAAATAAATGTAGTTTTTACTTAAATAAGATTTCCCAGTGCTTTTTAATCGTTTTTGACTGATTCTATTGATGTATCTCGTATTGTAAATGGTGAAAGGTTCTGAACTTTGATAAATGTATAGCGCGTTTTTGAACCATCTAATCCATGAATTTTCGACCGTTATTTCTTAACGAATTTTTCATGTGATAAATAATATCTATATCTATGTATCTATAAAGATATACCTAAAAAGATAATTTGGTTTCTTTACTTTCGGTATCCCGGGCAATTTATATTATTCTGAATAAGTTCCTTCATGTAATCCTTTAGATAAGGGGATATTAGGGAGGTATTGCTGAAAAATATTAACCGGCTCCACAGTTTACCATCATCGTTTAGCAGCACATTGAGGTCACCATTTTTGGGATCACCTAGTCGACCGTAATCTGTCGCCAGGTAGTCTTCGGAATTCTAGGAGATCACCATCGCATCACCCTTTATAATCCAACTGAGAGCCCACATTTAAACCTGCTTGAAATCCATTTGTTTTTCCAGGAAAATAATCCCAACAAAATGTATGTGGGTAAGGTATTATTTTACATTTTTCTTTGGAATTCATGGTTATCCAGTAAATGAAACAAACTCTCTTTTTTTGAAATAGAATTGAACTTAGGCATGCTCTTGTATTTTTAAAAGTTTACAGCGTTTATAAATAATGATTTACGAGTACTTAGCGTAATGCTTAGCCACGAGAAAATAAATGTGTATATTTATTAAGTTAACTTAGGGCATAGACTAAACAGAGAACTACATACAATCAACTAATCGATAACTAATTATCACTTTTAAAAAATGAAGAATTGATTTAAAAAAATTATTTAAAAAAAACTAATTTAGCATTTATAGAAGAGGCTGCACATAATCGGTATTTCGTATTGTATAAACATATATAACTAGGGATGCGCGGCTCTGATTTTTAGATCCGATCAGAACAGATCAGACAAAGACGCGCATCAAGTCGCTGCTGGTTGGAGTGGAGTTCCCGCCCGGATTGGAATTGTTCCCCTTCCAGGGAGGATTGCTATTGGCGCTGGGAGTGTTGTTGCTGCTGCTGCTGTTTATATTGTTCATGTTGCTGATGTTGATGTTGCTGCTGCTGTCGGATAAAGTACGCAGCAGTTGCTTCTTGAGGAGATGCTGCGGCGAGTGGCTTTGACTTTGGCTGGCATTGTGGTTACTCTGGAGCGGCAGGTGGAAGTTGGGGCGGCCCAAGTTCTGGAGTTGCTCCTGCTTGCCGGCCAACAGCCGGCGGCGTTTCTCGAAGAAGCTGAAGGTCAGCTTGTTATCCTCCTCCTTCTCGCGTTCTTTGTCTTTCAGCGGCGACTGCTCCTCCTCTCCTTCCGCTTGTGGCTTCTCCTCCTTCTTGACCTTTCCCATCAGCAGTTCATTCAAACGCTTGGCCGTCATTACTCCTGTTCCTCCAGTTTTCCCACTGATTAGCGCCCTTTTATTGCACCTCAATCGATCCTGTGCTATGACATTCGATCGCTGGGCGTAGATGGTCCTTCCCGAAGCGGGATTCTTCCCCGGAAAACCATTATTTAACGCGGGTGAAGGCAGCGGCGGTGGGCGTGCCAGCTGGCCAACCACGCCTAAATGATTACCACCCGTCAGGGACAACAAATTATTGTTCGCCTTGCGAGTAGTCAGCAGATTTTTGCGAAATGTCACACCCAATCCCTGGGGCATCTTCACCATGCCGAATGTGTTCATGGCCAGCGGACGTGGCGATCCCGAGTAGAGCATCACATTGAAGTAGCTGTCCTCGTGGTATTTGGCATTGGCCAGCGATGGATGATGGGTGGTGATCTGAGGATTGGTTGTGGGTTTAACAGTCTTTACGGTGTCGCTAACAGTCTCCAGTTTACTGAACTCAAAGTCACCCAGCTCGTCCGCCAAGTGGTGGTGATTGGTGGTGGTGGTCTCCATTGCAGAACTCACCGATTGAACGACATTCACGTCGACATTTTCATAGCCCGCATGGGTTAGGAATTCGGCCAGAACCTTCTGCTGCTCCAGCATGGAATCGGGATTCGATTCGCTGATCTCGTAAATGATGCTGGGCAAGATCATGTGCTCCTCCAGCTGCTGTGGCTGTTGGGTACTGACCATTGTCTCATCCGTCAGCGATGGCACATTGTAAACGCTAAACTGACGCTGATCCTGCAGCTTCTGATCCTCCTGCAGCTGCTGTTGCTGCTGCTGCTGCTGCTGCTCCTGCAATTGCTGCTGCTCCAGCATCTGCTGTTGCTGGTAGATCAGCTGTTGCAGCTGCATGGCATCGATGGTGGTCAGCTCCTGCTGCTGCTGGTGCTCCTCCTCGCCGTAAACCTGCTGCACCGACTGCTGCTGATAGACGGTGTAGTCCTCGGAAATGCTTCCATCCTCGTAGCGCAATCTTTTCGTCGCCTGTGCGGGATGCGAAAGAGATCCATTCTGCGACTGCTGCTGCTGCGGCTGCTGCTGTTGCGAAGTGTCCAAGGCGCTCTCATCAAAGTTATTGAGAATCTCGTTGATCAACTTGCTGTCCAGCATTTCGTCTAGCGTCTGCGAAATGGAGTTCTCATCGGAGGTGTTGGGCAATGGGAGTTCCTCCTCTTCGGGAGCCACCTGCTCGGAGGAAACTGCTCCCGTAATGGAGGACACGGCCTGATCCAACTCGCTGATCACCTGCTGCTGCTCGTAGGGATTCACCATCACCGCCGCCGGCTTCTCTTTGTTCTTCTCCTTCTCAGCTTTTGTTCGATGATCGCTTGAGCCCTTTAACTGAAAAGCCAGAGAATTTAGTTATTGTTTATTGTATACAAACAAAAAAAAACTTGGTTAAATCAACTGTAATAATTGTCATAAAAATTGTCAATTCTACTCAGTAAATTGTTACTCTTAGGTTATTTGTACTATACAAAATAGTTATGAACTGTAAAAAAGGGTAGAATGAGCCCGAACCATAAATTATCGTCAACTTACTGTTTTATAGCAAATAAACAATAATTTATAGTTATTTCACTATATACTATTAACTTAACTATTGTTCATAGTTAAATAACTATTTAAAATAGTTTCACACAAAAAAGACTTGGTAAATAATAAATAAGACATGGTAAATAATTAATAAATAATTTTCATACAGGCCCCAACCATAAAAATTGTCAATTCTACTAAGTAAATTGTTACTCTTACGTAATTTGTAAACGTAAGAGCTACTATAAAGAATAGTTATGCAACTGTAAAAAAGGGTAGAAAGTGCTCGAACCATAAATTGTTGTTAACTTGCTATTTTTAAAGTAAATATACAATTATTTATAGTTATTTCACTATTTAAAATAGTTTCAAGGTACACAAACAAAATACACACATCCCGTAAGCATAACTATTTTAATAGTCGTTTAACTATTTAATAGTACATAAAGCAAAAACAAATTAAAGTACTATTTTTTATAGTTACTGAACTATCTTCATTGGTAAATTTTACCAAACAAAATTTTTTTTGTGTATAAGATTAAACTAATACAAAATACCTTTTTCTTTGGCTGCAGCTCGGGTAGCTTTTCCACCTCCGTCTGAAGCTGGGCAGGTGAGTAGTTGACCCCCAGAGCCACCTCCCCGGAGGCTGCTCCCAATGTGGGCGTGGGCGGTAGACTGCAGGATGAGTTGCTGGAGGAGGAGAACACGCTGATGGCAGCCGGGGCAGCTGGAGGTTCCTCTTTAACAGCAGCAGCGACGACAACAGGCTGCGGTGCTGCTATAACCGCACCTTTCTTGGAACCCTTCGATTCCTTGTGATTGGACGAATCCAACGCGGGCGCCGGAGCTGGCGAGGTGTGGTGGCGGTTCTTCGACGACTTGGAACGCGAACGACTGCCGGCGGAAGTGCTGCTGCTGCTGCCGCTGCCCTTGGATGCGGAGGAACTGCTGCTTTTGCTGCTGCTGCTCTTGTGACGCGACGACGACGAGGAGGACGAGGACGAGGTGGTGGTTGTGCTGGAGGATCCCGCGCCCGCAGGATGCTGCAGCGAGGCCGAGCTGCTCGAGCCATTGGAGCAGCTGGAGAGCGTGGAGGCCGAAAGCGTGTCCGTGGGCGAACTGGGCACTACGCCGCCCTCTTGGCTGTTCTCCGTGGCAGTGAGACGCGAATCGTGGCTGGTTGCGGACGAACCATTGGTCACCTTGCTCGAGGTGGCCTCCCAGACGCTCGGATGCTGCAGCGCAATGTGATGCTGGAAGCCTGCCTTCGTGTAGCAACCCGAGCAGGAACTACAAAGTACTATATCTCGGCTGGCCAACTTTGGCACCAGATCGTAGTAGGCCATGTCCGCCGACTGGAGGCGCTGGACTTGAACTTTCGCCTGCTGATCTCCGCCAGCGGCGCCGGCGGCGGAGGAGTTCTTCCCGCCGCGCAGAAAGGTCTTCTCGGCCGTTCGCAGCTGCTTGATGACCTTGTCCAAGTCGAAGACCTGCTGCCACTTTTGGTTCTGCAGGGCGAAGAGCGAGAGTCCCGACGATCCCGGAACAGAAGACTCCGGTGGCTTCGCCATCGCCTGCGCCTTGTGCTTCGTTCCATTTTCCGGATAAACTCCGCCGGTGGAGGCCACATCGTTCAGGGGCATTCCGGACAGAAACTGGATCGCGGGATCCCAGGGGGTTCGGTAGAGTGAGCAAAATTGCCCTTTAAAGCACCTGTAAAATAAGGGATTTTTTAGTTTATAGTTAAGAATTTCTATATTATAATAATATTAAAAGGAAAAAAATAAATATTTCACATTTTAAAATATATTCATTTGGTTTTTATAATGGAGTTAAATACTTTTACATATATTTAATTTAATTGGCTTTCACTAAAATGTATTACTAAAAATAAACAATTAAAAAATTATTATAAACTGTTTATTAAAAATAAAACTAAAAACTTTTCTAAAACTTATTTGATAACAATTTAAAAAGAAAACTTAAAATAAAAATTTTTTTAAATTTATTTATTAAAAATTAAACATTTTAAAACTTTTTTATAATTTATTTTATACAAATTTTAAAACTTTTAAAAAATTATTTTAATTTATTTACTAAAAATTAACAATTAATTCATTTTTGTAATTTATTTAATAAAAATTTTAAAACTTTTTTATCATTTATTTATTTTAAAATATTTAATACACTTGACAGGACTTTACTGATTTAATATATCATTTTAGCGCAGGACCCTGACCCTGAATCGACATATTTTCCACGCATGAAAATTCGCCACAGGTATGGAAACCACTTGTAGAGAGGGTAACAACTGTACGTTAATAAGTGTTTTTAGAAAATTAATCACATTTTTAAATGCATTTTCCAAGTTCAACAATTCTTTTTATACCGTAAATTTTTCAGCGAAAGCTTACAGGTGAGTGCTGCCCCTCTCCGCCCCCGCCACCCACTAGCGCCGCCCCTTGTGCACCCACACCCCTGGGCCCGATCAGCTGTTTTTGACAACCGCTACTCGAGTGGTGCCGTCTCGCTTCCACTGCCGCACACATGCGCAGCCACTCACACCGACGCACCGCAGCGCACACACTTACCCACACCAACGCAACACAAACAAAGCACACGATTGAAAATCACAAAATAAAAATCACACAAAATGCTCAGAAACGAATTTGACTCGAAAGCTGAATAGTTTTTGAAATGAAACTGACACTTACGTCGTTAACACACTTCCATGTTTTTTTTTTTTTTTGGGCTTAGGTTACCGTTCTACCCTACCCTTCCACTCGCTTTTTTGGCCGCTTTTCCTGGGCGAAAATGCCAGGTCAGGTTGAAAAACACGAGTGGGGTGTAAAGCCAAATTGATTCTTTAATGAAATCAATTAAAGCCCGCTAGTTTTACTCGCGTTTTCGTGTTTAAAGAAATTATTATGAATAGTTGTATTTGTAGAGATGGCAAAACTCGTCTAGATACGTTACGTTTTTCGTTTGTCGATATGTTATCGATATGTATCGCATATGCTGTCGGTGTAAATTCAATTTAGCAAGGGTATTCCTATTTAATGCATTTATGTAAATTCCACAATTGAGCAAATCATTATTCGAATTTAAAGCAGAGAGAATGTTGTTATGTAAATGGTCCCCAAACCCAGAAATCAGTTCATTACAATCACTTGTCTTTAGTAAACGTACATATTTGAAATGACCGAGTACAAGAATTATTTTTTCGTTAAATTTTTTGGTTGGACCCTGTGTTCAATCCTGGCTCAATCACAGGATTCCTGTTCAGTTTGTATCTTGAAAGATGCTCCCAATCAGTGTGGAGCCTTCTGCCTCGCCGCACTACATCCACTTTATGATCAAATGGCCGAAATGCGGGAAAAGTTAGACAAGATAGAGACCCAGCAGATCGCAATACAGACGATGATAGAAAACCAGGAAAAAGACTTTAAGAATAAATTGGATAAGATGGAAAGTTCGTTGAATATAAATACAACAAGCCAATACAAGGACCTTCAGGAAACCCTCATCAGGATTTACACAAAAGTATTTAACCTGAAAAACTTCGAGCGAATTGGTTCCCGGCACTTCTATATACAAAATGATGTTTACCAAGATTGGACCACTGCTGAAAAAAGCTGTCAGCAGATGGTCGCCCACTTGGTGTCCTTTAAAAAACAAGAGGAGTTTGACGCCCTAAACCTAAAAATTAAACAGAACTTGTGGTTCTGGGTTGGCATTAACGATATATCCGAGGAGGGCAAATACATATCTGTAGACACCAACAAAACAGCTAATTTCTTAGATTGGAACGACGGACAACCCAATAACTTGGATTCAAATGAGAACTGCGTTGCGATTGGATTTGGTAAAATGTACTACCGGAAATGTGATGAAGTATCACGTTTTATTTGCGTATCAAACGACTCCTTTTAAATTTAAAAGAAAAAATAAATAAAAAATTAAGCAATATATCCCTTAATTAAGGAACAATGCTTTTTGTACAAGGTAATTATTGAAGAACAGATAAACACATACAAAAATTCGGGTCCGGACTTTGTAATACATTTTTAATAAAATATCTTTAACAATTATCTTTAATCCTAAACCTATTCATCTTCATCGCTAAGGTCCTCTTCTTCCTTGGCCTTTCTGGACTTGCGCTCCAGTTCCTTGGCGTAGAGTTCCTTGAAGGCTTCGTATTCCGTCAGGGTGACGTGACATATCTTGGTGGCAAAGCTCTTCTCGGAAGTGTCCGTAATCTGATAGAGTTTGTGGTTCGAAGTGGGCTCATTGGGATCGGCTTTCTGAGGCCGGGGTTTGAACAGACCCAAGCGCACCAAGAACTCGTGACGGCAACGCATCTCCTCAAAAGGCAGAGTTAAGGCAGCTGATTTCACTATTTCCGGAACTTCAATGCGCATCACTTCGATAAGGAAATTCAGTTTTTCCTCCACAATTTCCTCGGGTTGTGCTATCAAATCCGGGCTGTTCATCAATAGTTTCCAAACATTTTTGCTGGTCGAAACGCGACTTTTGAGAAAGCCAATGTGTGAAAGTAGCTGGTGAGAGTCACTAATGTCCAGTAATTCAGGATATTTCGTAAGGAGCAGGTGTAGTAGATTCTCGCCGAATTGACAGGCTCTCCAGATTTCCAGACTGTTGATTATTTTCTCTGGAGTTCTTTTCAAAACAGCAGGATTACCGGTAACGATCCTCAGGAAATTAACCGTTTCCAAGCCGTGATTTTGAAATGTTTGATGGGCCCTTCGCCAGATCTCAGGTGTGAAAATGGATAAAGTGGGTTCCAATTTGACGGCCTCATCAATGTGGATTTGTTCGAGTTGCAAGATCTTGGCTGCTGCCAAGTGTTGTATGTGATGTAACTGCAAAATAGGGAATGTTTAACGATCTCTTACTTATGGGTTACAATTATACTCACCTTTGGTTGCTGTTTTAATACTACTTGAGTGTTAAATAATAATTTTCGTAGCATTTTAGAGAATGTAATTTCTGAAATCTGCGACGAAAACAATAAACAGCTGTTATCCTCTTCTTCCAACTGCCATTCACCGCGAAACGCGAACAACGGCATGTTTAGCTGGTACACCCACCACAGTGGTCAAAAGCTCAATTGTCAAGTAAATCGAGGAGATCGAATTGTTTTTCATGTCGGGTGCGCAGGGAATAGTTTATTAAAAAAAGTTATAAATAGAACTGTCGCGCATAAAAAAACAACACAGTGGAAAGTTTTATCCAAGCGTTTAGTTCAGCAAGTTAAACGTAAGAAGTTTTTACATACATAGAATGCGGGGGAGTTCATCGCTATCATTATCATAATTATAATCACACGTCGAAAGTGCTTTTATTATAAAAAATCTAAAAAAAATAGCCGGCTTATCCAACACCCAAGGTTATTTCAATTTTTATATGCAAAACAGGTTTTATAAAATAGGAGAAATAATTAGAAATATAGTAAAGCAGTTGTTGCCTGTTGGAAAACAAAACAAATGTTCTAGGTAAAATGAAGGGGAAGAAGCAGATCGGTACACTGCAAAAAAAATTGATAGAGTATAATACTTTTAATAAAAAAAGAAAAGATTAAGAAAATATATTACACAGAACAAAATGTATCAAAAACTAAAAAAAGGTTTACCATTAAAAAAATATATCCAAAGAAATGAATGATTTAAAGAAGAATAAAGTATTACTTCTTGTACAATTTATTTATTTTTTTTTTTAGCCTGAAAGCTATACAAAAATGTACCAAATCGAGTTCAAGTACCATCTAAAACATGACAAGATAATCTACATTTTTTAAATTATTTATGTAATTATCTTTTATCTCTGCGTAGCGAGGCGAACGTGACAAGTATTTTTATTTATTGGGGAATTTATTGGCCAAGAGAGGAGGGCTCGTTCGATCCGCTGATAACTTTGAATTGCCGTACAGGTGGCATCCAGAATAATTCAAGTAATACTCAAACAAGGTCAAATTCAATAACATTGTGAAATAGCACAATTACTTTTGGTCGATTTGCTTTCAAACAATTGGGAGGGAAGATAAACTCCCGGTAGAGCGAGAGATATAGCACTCGATTCTCTCGAATTCTCCGCTGATAAGGAGAATTCTCCGGGGCTTCCACCCGTATGTATTTAACTAACAATCCACTCGGCTCTTCACTCATTCGCAGCCCGTTCCACAAACCAGCAACATGTCGAAACTCATCCGTTGGGGAATTGCCTCTGCCGGCAAGATTAGCGAGGACTTCGTCATTGCCTTGAGCACCCTGCCCTCCACCGACCACAAGGTCCAGGCTATTGCCGCCCGATCCCTGGATCGCGCCCAGGAGTTCGCCACCAAGCACGGCATCCCCAAGGCCCTAGGAAGTTACGATGAGCTGGCCAAGAGCGGCGATGTCGGTGAGTATATAAAAAAAATTTTTATAAAAAATGTATTAAATAACTTCGAAAATTAAAAATCCAACTGAAGGATTTTATTCAGTTTTTTTTTATAATTCCGATATAAATTTCGAATTATTTTTTCTGTAGAGTAACGACAATTTTTAATATAATGTGAATTTATAAAATTAAATTAAAACTGGAATTGACAAATAATAAAAAAAGCTATAACTATGTAATTCGACAATTTAAGAAGAAATTAAAAATCCAACGGAAGGATTCTATTCTGTTTTTCCTTATAATTCCCAAGTGTAAATTTCGAATTATTTATTTTAATAAATACAATGAGAATTTGAAAAAATTGTGAGAAATAATTCTTTAATTAAAAATTAAAATTAACAAATTCTAAAACTAAAGTTAAAACTAAATTTTTTCGTTTACCTTTATAATTCTCAAGTGTAAACTTCATTTGCAATTAAATTGAAAGAAAATATTAATAAAATTAAATTTCTGTTGAATTTTTTTTTTTTAAATTGTTTTTAATATTTTAAAATTTAATGTACTTATTTAATTCCCCAGATGTGGTCTATATTGGCACCCTTAACCCTCAGCACTACGAGGTGGCTGTGCTGATGCTGAACGCTGGCAAGCATGTGCTCTGCGAGAAGCCCCTGGCCATGAACAAGAAGCAGGTGGAGGGCATCCTGGCCGCTGCCAAGGCCAACAAGCGCTTCTTCATGGAGGCCGTGTGGTCGCGATTCTTCCCCTCGTACCAGCGCGTCAAGGAGCTCATCTCCAACGGACAACTGGGCCAGGTTAAGGATGTGGAGGTCAACTTCGGCTTCCCATTGGCCCATGTGGATCGCTTGCAGTGAGTAGAAAGAGTTGACTTTTAAATCAGATAAACTTTTGAACTAATAACTAATATCTTTTATAGGAAACGCGATCTGGGCGGCGGTGTGGTCTACGATCTGGGCATCTATACCATTCAGGTCTCGCAGTGGGCCTTCCAGGAGAAGCCCGAGAAGATCGAGTCCACGGGAACCCTCAATGCCGAGGGCATCGACGATGATGTGAGCGCCACTTTGACCTACAGCGGTGGTCGCACTGCTCGCATGCGCTTCTCGTCCAAGGAGAAGCTGGCCAACACCGCCGTGATCAAGGGCACCAAAGGACAAGTTACGGTAAGCAATCTAATCGATTGATCGAACGTGATTCAACAGAATGTAATACTTATATATATTATCTATTAGCTGATTGACTTCTGGACGCCCAACAAGCTGATCGACATCGATGGCCAGGAGAAGGAGTGGCTGCCCCCCAAGGGCAAGTACGAGACCAACTACGCCAATTCCGAGGCCATGCGGTACGAGGCGGAGGCAGTGCGTCAGTCCATCATCGCCGGCGATGTGGAGAACAAGAACGTCACCTACGCCGATAGTTTGCTCTTCGCCGAAATCGAGGACACCATCCGCAAGCAGATCGGTGTGCTCAACAAGTACGATGAGCAGTAAAATTAGATTATATAGCTAAATGTGTAACAGTAAAATAAAGTAATAAACAGACATTTTATAAAAAATATTTTCTTAATTTAATACTCAAAATTTTCTAACCAAATTTAACCATAATTAATATATATTTTATTTTATTTTTAATATCTTAAGTGTAAAATTCATATTACATAGCCTGTTCCTAGAAAAAGTTTACCCCACTGGTTCCATGTTTTTTTCCCGATGCCCCACTCTATATCAAGGATTGACAAACAGTGCGATAAGGCAAAATATTGATTGCGAAACGGCAGCAATGACATTCCCAGTAGGTCGAACTCTGCCTGGGGTGTAACTAAAGTAGATGATATGGCAAAATTCTCGACTATACACACAATTGATCACGTTTTCGCCGCATGATAGGCGTCTTTTAATTTAGGGGCTGGAAGAAAAAGAACGCGGGGGTTTCTTATCTCAGGGTTTCTGCTTACTTATCTCAAATCAAGATTTTAGCACCTACTTAGACTAAAGCTCTTACTAATTTAGGCAAAATATATTATTCTAAACATCTTTTTAAAAATTGTTAAAATAAATTAAATTTCCAAAAACTTAATTTTTTTTCTTTTCTTAAATTTGTAGCTTTTGGGAAATTACGCAACTGTACTTTTATAGTTTTGTACACACGTCGTTTTTGCAGATAACCGTAAAAAAAAGGGGGCTCGTCTTAGTTCTGAGTGATAAGATAAGTTCGATTGCGTAGAACACTTCATGGTCAGAGCCCTTTAGAGATTTGGAATACGTATATGGAGTGGATGAAAACCTTGTGATCAGTTTGGGAATTTTGTGGAGAACTCTAAGATTCTAGAACTTTTTCGTCTTTCTTTTAGATGACTGGCATTTAAAGAATTCTGGAAATTAATTTAATATACTATAGTAAGTTTATACCCATTGGTAATGATGATCACCAAAAAATGTGACTTATAGATTCAATTATTCTTAAAATTCCCAAGTATAAATTCCGAATTTTTTTTCTGTGGAATAAAGACAATTTTTAATACAATGAGAATTTTCAAATATTGTGAACTGTAAAATGTTTTTTTCAGAAGACTGGTGTTTAAAGGATTCTGAAAATTAATTTAATATAGTAAGTTTATAGAAACCCCTATCATCATCACCAAAAAATGTGACTTATAGAGCGGCAGTGTGCGGATCTGTTTGGTTCCTTATCAACACCGGAATGCAATGGAATACGAAAAGTGCAATGAATGCAGATGCCAGGGACTGATAGGAAACCCCTCGGGACTGGGCACTCAGTATCATTATCATGGCGTCAGTAGCTGCCCGGCTCGACTCGAAAACAGAACGGATACGGATACCCATTCATAGAGCATTCACATTCACAATGCAGAGCCAGGCGAATTTGAACTGGGGCATTGCGGCGGCGGGCAGGATAACGCAGGATTTTGTCACCGCCCTGGGAACGGTGGAGAAATCCCGCCATGTGGTGGTGGCCGTGGCCGATGTGGATGGTCAGAGAGCTCAGGAATTCGCCCAGAGAAATCAGATTCCCAAACATTACGATGGATTCGATGCCTTGGCCTTGGATCGCGAGGTGGATGTGGTTTATGTGGGCACGCTGAATCCCTTTCACTACGCTGTCGTCCATCTGATGTTGGCCAGGGGTAAAAATGTCCTGTGTGAGACTCCAATATGCTTAAGTTTGGAGCAGGCCAAGGAGCTGTATGCTTTGGCAGAACAGCGGGGTGTATTTCTTATGGAGGGTAATGATGTGGATCCATTAAACTAAAATTTAAAAAATATTAATCATAGATTCTTATATTTTTAGGCATGTGGTCACGTTGTTTTCCCAGCTACGATCGTTTGAGGGAGCTCCTGAATAACGATGCCATTGGTGAGGTGACCCAGGTGAAGATCCAGCACGGTTTCCGCTTGGCTCACATGGAACGGGTGTTCAATCGCTCGCTGGGTGGCTCCGTGCTCATGGACCTCGGCATCTACGCTTTGCAGCTGGGACAGTTCATTTTCGGCGTTTCGCCCGTCAAAATCTTGCCCAGCGGAACGCAACTCAACAAGGATCGCGTGGACGTACAGGGTGAGTTTATGCTGGACTATGGAGATGGGCGAAGATTAGTGGCTTTGGTGACGGGGCTGGAGAATCTAGAAAACGATGCCGTCATCACGGGCACCAAAGGCGAGATTAAGGTGAGCTCTTGAACCCTGCAATCACGGGGGATTATCAGTACAGCAGTACAGCTGTTTTTAGCCATACTTTGTAAATCTTCCAGCTGTCCAACTACTGGTGCTGCACCCACTTGAGCCGATCCAATGGTCCGCCTGAATCCTGGCCTTTGCCACAGGCCAAGTTTGATTTCCATTACACAAACACCTGCGGACTGCGGTACGAAGCGGAGGAAGTGCGTCGCTGCATAGAGAAACGTCTGCTGGAGAGCCCGAAATTCACGCATGCCGAGAGTCTGGAACTAGTGGCCATTACCGATGAGCTGCGACGACAGATCGGGGTCACCTTTGATATGTGAACTGTAAGGAGAGTTGGAAAAAGTTAGTAATTAATAAATACAGTTTATTTCTCTAGTTACCTGGTAATTACTAAAATATAATTGATGAATCTACAATTAAAAAAAATAATATAGCTAATTTGGATTCATTATTTATTTAGATCGGGGTCACCTTAGATATGTGAGCTGTAAGGAGAGTAGAAAAAAGTTAGTAATTAATAAATACAGTTTATTTCTTTAGTTACCTGAAAATTATAAAAATATAAAATTGATGAATCTACAATTAAAAACATTTATATGGCTATTTTGTATTCAATATTTATTTAAATAATTGCAATTATTTTTTCTTTATCGTTTTCATTTTTTTCGCTTTTGTCGTTATCAAGTTTTGCATATACATATTTCTAAATCGTACTGCATGTTGTGGATGCTTTTGTCGCTTTCTTTTTTTCTGGTTGCTGCCATTTGTTGTTGGTTCACTAACTCTAATACGCTAAGGGTCAGAAATGAGGAACTTAGGAGCTAAACGAATACTTAAACGCAGCTAAATCGAGGATAATTCTACAAAAGGCTCATAAAACTCATTAGGTAATTAGATTGGCTTCGTAACTAAATGCAGAGTACAAAACACAAAATCGGTTAACGATCGATTTTTGTAGTTAAGCTGGGTTAAATCAGATTTGACACAGAATATTAGGGATAAATATGGGGGCTCTCAGCTCATTAAATTCATTGGAGCAACGCAGTAATTTGTTCGTTTAAGATTATACAATAAAATTGAAAAAAAAAGTGAATAGATGATAACTTGATTTTGCGAAGGGAACATAACTTAAGCAACAGAGTAACTAAATTACAGTATGCACTTAGAGACTAATTAGAATTTAACAATAAAATGATTTATACAAGGCGGTCCGAGTCATTTTTTATGACCCTCGCCGCTACTGAAGAGGTCTCCCAAAATCGAGGAGTGACGCCAACGCTGTCCTTTTTGATTCCTGCCCCTGTTTATCCTTTTGCCTGCTCCTTTCCCTTTCCATTGCCCAGCCACACCTGCCACCGCCGCCGCCGCCTTAAACGTAATGAAGTCTTTTGCTGTGTAAAATTGCTATAAAAACTATTCCCAGCTCTCTAGATGCCTCCGCCTATTCCGATTTAAGGGTGGGTCTCTTGGGTGCTCTTTTTGCAATTCTCAAGAATTTTGTCTTGGCAACAAAGGATACAATTTCAATAGATCCGGAAGAAAAGGTATCGAGCAGGTTTCAACAAAAATAAATAAAATAAAAGTAACTCAAAGAAAGAATATTACAATTTAACTATCATTTGTAATAAACCGGAATTTACTGGATTTACCGGATTTCTCTGAGCTACTATTTAAAAGTGAGTTCTTTTTAAATAAAATTAAAGTAGTTCATTGGAAGAATATTACAATTTAACTATTATTTGTAATAAACTGAAATTTACTTTGATGCTTTGGAATTTACACAGATTTTCTGGTCTACTAATAAGAATTAGTTCTTTTTAAATAAAGAAAAGTAGTTAAATGGAAGAATATTACAATTTAACTGACTTTACTTTGGAATTTCCACAGATTTTCTGGTCTACTAATAAAACTGAGTTCTTTTTTAACAAAGAACTTTTGGTTCCCTTTAAAACTTATATATTAAAAACGAATTTCTAAAACTATAGCATCCAATTCAAAGTTCACTGAGAATTGCTTTTAAAATCTACTAAAACCCCACAAATCGACCCAGTCCAAATTGGATTTGGTGGCGCATTCCCTGCTCTAGGTGGACTCGCTCAAGGCCTGGTGATGCTGTTCCAGCGGCTGGCGTGGCTGAGGGGCAGATGGCGTGGTCATCGGTGGCAGCTTGCTCTCCACCACGGCGACAATGGGCGCTGGATTCACAAGCGGCGGGGGCAACGCCTCGAAGCTCATGCATCCCCGGCCCTGCTGGCCCTCCTCCACAATGGGCGGTGTGTCGATCGAGTCGATGGTGGTGGTGCTGGCGGTGGCGGTTGCACTGGAAGAGCCGCGAACACCGCTCAAACCCTCGGAGACGGCCACCAAGGCGGCGGTGGTGTTGCGGTTGTGCTGCAGCAGATCGTTGATCTGCGAGAGGCGTGAGGAACTGGCGATCGGTGTGCTCAAGCTGATGAATTCATTGCCGTTGGCCGGGGAAGATGCTGTTGCCGCGGATGCTGCGGCATTTGGATTTCCAACAACAACAATCCGTGACGGCGAGGTGGAGGAGGTGGAGACGGCGGTGGTCTGGTAAGGAGCATTGCTGGAGGCGGTGGTGGTGGCATTGCCATACGGCGGAACCGAAGGCACCGCACAGGAGCTATAGGCGCAGGAGCTCGGTGCTCCAGCAGGTGACGGCGAATGCTGCTGATAGGTAGCCGGATAGGAAGTGATCTGTAGGGGAAACCAAGGGTTAATAACATATTATAAGAGCTACTAAAGATAGCAGGGTTCGGGAAGTAACACACTCTGTAAAAAACTTGTGTTATTAACATGTTAAATAAAGTGTTAAGTTCAAAAAAGGTATTGACACGAGTTTAAAAAGTTGCAGTTTTCATATATTATAAACATAAATAACACACACATTTTATTTGTGTTATTTACACGATGTGTTATTTACACGATGTGTTTTTACACAACGTGTTTTTAACACAATGAGTTTTTGACGTTAAAACGTCAGAAATATATGTTGAACTGAAAAATTCACGGTTTTTTGTAGTTGAAACAATTTATATTTATAATAATAACAATTAAGATATCCTGGTCCAATATTGATTCTTCATTTTCCCTTCGATTCGTTAATGTCCATAAAATGTAATTTTCATTTGTGTTAAAAACACAGTGTGTAAAAAACACGTCGTGTTAATAACACATTGTGTAAACAACACAAGCGAGCTGTATGTTAACAATTATTTTCCACATTTTAACACTTTTGTAAAATACAATTTTACATGTTTTTAACATGTGTGATAAATTCCGAACCCTGAAAGATAGTTACCTGAGTGCTGCCGTAGCTAAGCGACTGATATAGCTCTCCGTAGGAGGGCGTGGCATTGCTGCCACTGGCAAATAGGCCCGAATCCAGGCTGTCCAACTGTGCGTAGGCCGCGTAGCTCTGCGTCTGCGCCTGCTGCTGCTGCTGGGGGATCACCTGGCCAGGAGTGGGCACTACTACTCCCTGCTGCTGCTGCTGGTAGTAGCTCACACTGCTCTCGGGCGTGTAGGCTGGCGAGGCATAGCCGGAACTGTAGTTCGATTGCGTTTGCAGGAAGTACGCGGATGTCGGAGCAGTTGTTCCCACCGGCGAATAGCTGATAGTCTGCTGGGATTGCTGCTGCTGCTGTTGCGGCTGAACGGAGCCTTGTCGCTGCTCCAAATCCAACCGCATCACCGTGTGTATGTAATGCGTACGCACCCTTGTGGGATTAAACTCCACCCGACCGACGGTGTTGCCGCAGGCTTCGCGTGTACAGCCGCAAGGGAACATGGCTCGATCCACTTGACATTTTATCCCAGCCTGACTGCAGGCACAGGTTTCCGGATCGCAGAACTCCCTGCAGGAACAGCCGCATACTTCCCGCGAATTTCTGATATCCCGGCATTCGCTCTTCTCGCTGGCATCGATTTTTCTCACTCCCGCTGCCTTTAGCAGGGCTCTTCTCTGCTTGGGCGTCACCGGCTGCAGGAAGCCATTGGAGCCGTCCTCGGCATCCGAACCACTGCCCTCGCTTAGGTAATCCTCCTCGGATTCCTCGCTATCATCGCTGCTGGAGCCGCGTGGCTGGAGTTCCTGGTTCTGGCTGCGATGTGCCCGCCTCAATTCCGCCGCATGCTCTGCCAGGGTCATCGTTTTGAAGGCTATGTGCCTGGCACCCATGCCCAAAGTGCATCCACCTGCAGTGGGCACGCAACTGAAGCCCTGTTGCCGTGGAAAGTAGTAGACCTTCACCTCGTCAAAGTTAATGGAGCGCTTGGTTCGCTTTTGGGCCGCCACCGGGGGAGCAGACATGTCGGGCACCAGATCGATGGCATCCTCCAGCCTTCGCTTGAGATTGGATCGAATGGGTTTGGTTTCCTGCTTTTCCTGCTGCACTTCTGGCTCGGTTTCTGGCTTCTCCGCCTGATCTTTAAGCAATGCGGAGGTTTCGCTGCCCAAACCGGAATCCGAACCTCCGTCTCGCAGCTCTTCATCCTTCGTTTTCGCCGGCTTTGCGGGCTCTAGGGATTCCTGATTGCTGGACGTTACTTCCCCTGAGCCAGTGGGCATTTCCGTTTCGTTATTCAACTTTAGCCACAGCAACTCGCCACTGGTGTCCACCTCCTCGTTTGTGGTGACCGACGAGGAGTCCAGTAGGTTGTCTATGGCCAGCGGATCCTCGGACACCGCATCAGAGGCAATGGAAGAGTTGAGATCCGCATCGCTGAGCACGATGATCTCGTTGTTCGGATAGTTGTCCAGCTCGAGGAATTGCTCCTCCAGTTCGGTGTCCGCCGGTCCGTGGGCAAAGTCCGCCAGTTCATCGTCCAGCTGCTCCAGGGGAAGGGGTAGCGAGGATGAGGAGCAGGAAGCCAACGCCTTGGCCTTGGCCGCATGCACCTTGGTGGCATCGATTATGGAGGTCTTGATCTGCCTCTCGATGTCGTCCTCGTCGTCGTCGTCGTTTAATTGAGGCAGTATCTGCAGCTGCTCCTGATCCCCCTGATCCTGATCCTCCAGTTCCTGATCCTTTCTGTCGCCTTCGTCGTGGGCACTTTCGCCGGCTGTCGTGTTTCCTGATGGGCTAAACATATTCGAGCCGCTCGCATTTTTTTGTATGTACGTGAATATCTTTTTGATAGGACTGAACATGCTATTCGTGTCGAGGTCCCGAAACTGGACCCAAAAACCACTTGATCCACCTAGATCTTCGAGTTTTCCTCGGTCATCATCTGCAAGAAAGCGGGGAAATCGTTTTATATAATGAGGTACCGGGCAGAAATCCATTTGCAGGTAGGGAAAAGTTCTAGATCAGGTGTGTATATACAGTGCGCTCTCTGAGTAAAGTTCAAAGTTAAATATATGTATTTTTTTAAGTTAAATATTTTTAAAATTAAATTTATTAAATTATTTTTGAAATAACCGAAACTATATATTAGACATTTTGTAGACATTTAAATAAAATTAGAACAGAGTGCTCTCTCGGAGTAAAGTTCAAGGTGAAAAAAATTTTTTTGAATAAATAGTTTTAAATATAATTGAAATCGGTATTTTTCCTATAAAGCAAAAATATAAATTTCAATAAAATTTCAAAAAATTAAAAGAAAAAAAAGTTAAAAGAAAAAAAAAATTCGTAAAATTTAAAGAAATCTGTATATTTGCTATAAAGCGAAAAAAATCAATTTCAATAAAACTGCAATACATGTACAAAAATATCAAATTAGCGTTCGTATCAAATCAATTTTTTTCTGTGTACGTGTAATAGTTTAAAAATATCTTTCTCTTTTTTTTATACTTTTTTGTTCGCTTTCTCGAGTGACCACTGTATTTGCAAGAGTGTGCATGCGTGTGCGTGTGCAGAATCCTTTGAAATCCTGGATCCCCGAGAATTTCGCACACACAAAAAACTTTGATTGGAGCACCCGAAAAGTAGACACACCGCAAACTAAAATCAATATTGATTAGCTGATTTTTGGGGGCCCACCTTTGCGGCTGAATTTCCGCTCTCGAAACAGCGAAAGGATTCGCGAGATCGGTGGGGATTATCCTTTTTGGAATTTGCGTTGCAGCTGCGACAGAAAAAAAAGAAGCGAGAGAGCGAGAGAGATGACGACAGGCCCAACTGTGTGCGTGTGTGTGCAGGGCTGTGCGAGTGTGTGCGTGCAGGACACGATATTCAGTAGTTTTTTCTATCAATTCAATCGCAGTACTCCGTCCGTTTGCTTCGATTTAAATTCCAATTTAGTTGTATAAACTAATTTCGCACTTTTTCACACTTTTCTTTAATTTTTCACGTCTTCTTTTCTCGCAATGTTATTACTTCTTCCCTTTAGTATGACCGTGGCGAGACTATTGAAATATACCAACTGGAATATAACTAAAAATACCTCAAAATACGCATAGAAAAGGTTGTTGTCTACGCTATGACCGCAGGGTGTACCAGCTAACTATCGATAATAAGAAGGAAGTATCGATTGGCTGATAGGTTGCAGTCCGCGCTAATAAATACACCCATTATTTTGGTATTTTCCAACGGTTGCGCTGCGGTCAAACACAAAAATTGCAAGAAAGTTGTAAGTTAAGTTTACCAATAAAAATAAACCACGCCAATTCCCCGGCCACCCACAAGGCAGCAGGACGAAAAACAAACAACTAAAAGGAAGAGCACTTGCGCAGCGGTGACGTCGCCCAGGAAATCAATCGACAAAAACAAGACTTTGCGACCATAAATTTGCGAGGCGAGTCGTCAGTCGCTATCTATCTCCCTCTGTGCTCGTTTCGTTTCGATTCGTCTTCTTGGAGCTGTTTTGGGGCACTCAATCGAGGGGAAAAAACGTAAATGCAAATGGTTTAATGGGTTGCGAGTGGCGCGTTGAAAAGTGCGTGGTTCCGAGTGCTTTTGCGTTGTTGTTTTTCGCCTTTACACTCGTCGCCCCGCCGTAATTAATTAAGAAAGTTGTGTAAAATTGTGTAAAAATTCGCCCTGTCCGCCATAGTGCGAGCGCTAGAGCGAGAGCGATAGATGGCCCTGAAATTTTTGGGTGCGTTGCCCAAGAGAGCGGGCGCTAGAGCGAGACGGCCATCTGACCTGCTCCAAGTGCAGCGTGCACAGTGGTTAGCAATGGCTCGAAAAGTGCTCGATTTCCATTGTTGGGTGATAAAGAGACTGCAGGTGCAATGGGCAAAGAATATAGCTGACCGAACTCGATCGGTGCCCATTATCACCCGATTTATTAGGGCTTTAATCGCCTGAATGGAGCGAAAGTTGCGGTTCTTTGTTCCAGCGTTTTGATTTGCGTCTTAATTCATGACAGTGCGGGTGTGTGTGTGTGTGTATTTATCTGCAATCCATTTTCTTATCGTCCATGTCTCCTAAAAAAATATATACTCCCCCCACTTTTCCTCTCTCAATTTTCCTCCAAAGCCGAAATGTAAACAAAATCGCATCTCCTACTTGTTCGCCTTTTTACATTTGTTTATTCAAGACTTTTTCGCTCACTTTGCAAATGGGAGAACCGCAATTGTCATACAATACATATTTACCATGTGGTATGTGCGACTGTAAATATAACGCTAATTGTATTCTCGGTTTTTTAGACGTGCCTGAAATATGCGTGCTGAGAAAATTGCACTTGTTGACTTTTCGAGTGAGGCAATTCCACAGTCGAGAGCACGTGAATAATACCTAGAAACTATAACCGGGAAAAAAATACTCCAAATGTTATTTTTTCTGAGAAAGTGAGATTGTATAGCAAAAGATAAATATATATTTTTTATTCAATTTTAAATATTTTTGAAAGATTTTTTTTTTGTTTTTTCTTTTTACAATATATTATTGCCATTACAATTTCATGTGCACTTTATAAATTTTTTAAATTATTCCTCAGAAATCTCACTCCCATTTGATTGACCATTATTGTTGTGACTGCCTGCTGTTGTTGCTTTCGCTCTCATTCTCTCTTCTGATGCGTTGTGTTTGTGTTGGTACGTGTGAATGACGCATCGTCAGCTGTTCTAAAAGAACCGTAATTTCCTGAACGTTGTTTTATATTTTATTGAATTTTCCGCAGACGGGCGCGAAGGGCAGTTCTATTGTTCGAGTGTCTTAAAGGTTTAAAAAAACCGCCTTAACTAGAGTTAGATAAATTTATACATTTCCCGGTGAGTTATTCTCTGCCAGCTGTCTGCCTCCCATGGAAAATTACCCTTTGGTTTACTGAGCAACGGATTGTTTTAATTAAATTTAAATTCCGGTTTTCCTTCTCTACAGACGCAATAAAATGCAAAATACGTCATTCGCTGGACAACAAAAAGTAATTGTAGGCGAAATTTCTTTATCGCAAGTGAGAGAGAATTTACAAAAAAAAAGAAAGAGAGCAAGTTTGCGGCTTTTCTTTGTGTGTATGCGAGTGTGTGTGACTGTGCACTTTGCTCCAAAGTCTCTGTACAAAAACAATAGAAGGGGGCGGAAGGGAGAAACAAACAATTGTTGACTGACTGCATTTTTAATGTGAAAGAGAGACGGCCTGCATATTTCGCTCTCTCCCCGCTCGTTAATTTAATAACGCCGCTCGGCAACAACAACAACAATATGTTTGTCACGCTTTTACTTTCTCCCGCTTTTCTCTCCTTCGTTAATTTATTTTGCATTGATTTTTATCACAGCTTCCGCCCTCACTCACTCACTCACTCCCTCATCCCCTATCTTTCCGCTCTGAACTCGCTTCTCTCCACAAAGTAAACAAGCTTCGTGTAGAATTCCATCCCACGATCTTTGTAGAATTATCTCCACTGTACAGTCTGCCTTCAATGTGTTAATTAATTGTAGTCGCAAGTCTGAGATTCCCATCGTCTGTCAAATAAAGATCAAATTTTAAGATCTGAAGAAAATGCTTGGGTACTTTGTAATGATTTCGAACCTAAATCACCTAATAGATTTATAGACTCATATTTTTGGGATGTCCTAATATTAAACTAGATTTTCATAGTCTTTTAAAGTAGGAAATTTTATTATTAATTTATAAAAAACCTGACCTTATTTGGAGATCAAATCCACTATAGCACTGTCTCGCATTCCAGAAAAAAACCAGGGGCCAATGGTGCGTATGATTCATATGAGTAGAACTGATAGCAGATAGATTGTGAGACCCACACGCATTCCCTCGGAATAATTCGAGGCGTCCTCTATATGTATATAATAAATATATACACAAAATCATTATACATTCGTGAATAACCCGCCCTCGAAATATTTTTATCAGAAAATGTGTGCATTATCAATTGTCTAGTAGCCCCTAAAGGAGCTGCAATAAATGTATTTATTGCTATAACCAAGATTTCCCCATACAATAGACCGATAAGAAATTCGTAGTTTCGTTTATTTTTACAAAAGGGTTTGGAAATAGACGAAGAAAGCGGAAAAAACAATAATTGCGCCTAAACAACATTTTTAAGGTTTCCCATTTGTGTTTGCCAAAGTATTTTTAGTTGTTGCTCTGTTTGTTTTTGCACATGCAATTAACTATGTTTGTGTTTGAAGACGATGACACGCAAGCAATTTTCCAAACACACCGCTTGACATTGAAAATTCTAGTGGCGGATTAGTACTTTCTCTGAAAGTTTAATTCCCTTATCGCTTGGCTATCAGTTGAATTATGTTGCTAAGTGACATAAATGATAATGACTTGTTTTCTGATGTATAAAAGTTGGGGAATTAAGTAATTTTTATTCGGTTGAGAGTTTTTTTTGTAGGGCGTATTGCTTTCAGTTTCAATGGGATTTATTGATTACCATTAGCAGGCGCTTCTTTTTTCTCTTATTGCTTTACTGATGGGATATGAGAACATATATGTACATATTGAATTAAATTTATTGGGCTTGTCGACGGCGTCATTAAACAAACGAAGGCGCCTCTCGGTTCTCTGACGTTTCATGGGACCACACATGAAACATGGAAGAATTTATACTTTGAAAAAAATAATAATAAAGTTGTACCCACAAAAAACGGGAAAATCAACCGGAAAAAACATTCTAAATTTAAAAAAAAAAATAATTTTATAAAAATTTATTCTTTTAGATTCCGCATCCATCACACTCACCAGCAATCTTTCCGCAAGGCTTACTCAGCAGAGGGAGTAAGTTGCAGTAACCGTCCGTAGAACCAATTACCAGTTGCCATCTCAGAGGAGGAAGACCGCATCCGCAACCGATCCCAACCCAGCAACCGATCATGGCAACCACACCACGCAGCGGCGGTGCCAGCGGCACTGGAGCGGCGCAACGACCCAATGGCACATCGCAGAACAAAAGTTGCCAATTCAAGTTGGTGCTGCTGGGCGAATCCGCTGTGGGCAAGTCATCGCTGGTGCTGCGCTTTGTCAAGGGACAGTTCCACGAGTACCAGGAGAGCACGATAGGTGCGGCCTTTCTGACACAGACCATTTGCATAGAGGACACCGTCGTTAAGTTCGAGATCTGGGACACGGCTGGCCAGGAGCGGTAATTATCGATGGGAAATCTTGTTGTAAACGATGCAGCAGTTGCTCTTATTCTGCCGCTACATCGTTTAAAATCGTATAGATCAAATGATTCCCTATTCCTTACTGAAACACACCTCTGTTTGTACTTACAGATACCACAGCTTAGCTCCCATGTATTATCGGGGAGCGCAGGCCGCCATTGTCGTCTATGATATACAGAATCAGGACAGTTTTCAGCGTGCGAAGACTTGGGTCAAGGAACTGCATAAACAAGTGAGCCAATTTTTCGATTATTTCCACTCTTCCGGTTCCAACATCAAGGTCAATGCTATCTCGTGTAGAGAGTTTCATTATTGAATGAATTAAGAGCCCACACAGTGAGTGCATTGAACTTGATTCGAGGCATTCGGCATTCATCCACGCCCCATTGCATTTATTTATTTATTTTTCTTGGCCATGGGGGAACTCATGGGTGTAAATTATGTTTCCAAACCTTAAAACTGGGTGTTTACTTAATAAATGTTACTATTTAATGTACTAATCCTTTTCTTCATTTTTTCTAGGCCTCACCAAACATTGTCATTGCGCTGGCCGGCAACAAGGCAGATCTGTCAAACATTCGCGTCGTAGAGTTCGATGAAGCGAAGCAATATGCCGAGGAGAACGGGCTGCTGTTCATGGAAACGTCCGCCAAGACGGGCATGAATGTCAACGACATCTTCTTGGCCATTGGTAAGCTATTAATAACCGACAAAAAACTTTGCTAATCACTTCCCCAATTACAGCCAAGAAACTACCTAAGAACGATGGCGCCAACAATCAAGGAACCAGCATAAGGCCGACTGGAACCGAAACAAATCGACCGACGAACAACTGCTGCAAGTGATGTCCCTTTGTAGGTTAGTCCAAGCCAACTAACGAAAGATGATTCCGATTAATAATATTGATTGTTTTCGATCTTATAGAAAATGAAATTTCCAACGAGAGATTTGAAAAGTTTATGCTGATAATTATAAATAAAAAAATTATTTAAAAATTCAACCAGAATCAGAAAGAAATACCTAAAGCAGGCTCTCCTAGGGGACACTACTTTCATTTGAGAGCCACAAAAACAATAATGATAAAGACCGCATAATAAGAAATATTACCTAAATACGAAGGAGTCCCAAAAGTTGCAATTGAAGAATGTTAGTTACGACTTCCCACAGCCCAATTTCCCCCATTAGACTCGATATCTGTCCAAAAAAAAAGAAGAAAAACCAAAACTGACACTATCAATATAATACCAACATAAACCATTTCAAATAACAACGCAACATAATAAAACTTGAAGAGAAAGCGCAGAAGGTTTTTGCAGAGTTCATCGTGTCGTAGAAAGTTTGAAAATGTATTGTATAAAAAAAGAAAAGAAAAAAGCATCTAAGCGAGCAAAGAATATTTGTAAAGTTTACATTTCGTGTAAGTTTCTGAGCGAATTAAGTGAGAAGGGAAGATTCCAGTTGCAGTTGTTCTCAGCAGCGTTCCAAATAAAACAAACAAACACCACAAGGAGCAAAAGTTCAGGCCAGCGGCTGAAGATCCTCGCTCGCCTCGGTCTGTGGCAATGTGTGTGTCTCTCCGGCTCCGGAGCACGGATTCCTGTCTCCAGATTCGGATGCGGACGCGGATTCGACTCCGGGTCGCGGCGGACACGTGTGATAGTTGCAATTTATATAAATTATATATACACATATGAAAATGAAAGAAAAGAAAAATCACAAAAAAAAATTATGCATAATTTTAACTTTTTTTAATTTCGTCTTGCGTTGAACTATTTTTCCACATTCTAGCAACAATCGAAGATTTAATGCTACTATCTTTAAACATAAACGAGAAAGAAGAAACTATCGTAAACCATTAAAATACAAATAAAACTTACATCTAGTATGCAATTAAGCGGAGGAAGTAAAGTGAAATCTTAAACATAAACCTTGAAATACTTTACTATAATGCAAAGAGAAAACAAACGTAAATAAAACGAAACCGAACAACACAATACCATAAACTACTTGTTTAAATCGTTCCACAAGCATCAATGATCCGATGCTTATTTCTTTCCAATTCATAATTTTTATGTTGTCTGTATGTATTTAAATTTAACATTTATAAATTATAATAAATGAAAACATCGTATATACTTATATATATATGAATCCGTATATATATGAAGTCATTCGATTTGAATCGAGAATAAATCGACATTTGTATTTAAATTGCGGGTTTCCTAGGCCTATTTCGTTTTTTTGCGGTTTTTTGATTAAAGATTATGATTAAGGAGGTGGGATTTCAGACAGTTATTTTAAGATGATATGAGTATTTGTTTGGGTTTAAAAAGCTAGTCACTACTAAATATATGATGGATAATGAGTAATTAAGTCTCAAAGGGAAATCACAAATATTCATTGGAGGATTCGTTTAATTAGTCGAGAAACGGAGCGCTTCCAAAACGGATTGATCAGCGATGCAGAAACTTTTTTCCCCTGAAGGGATTCTAGGTAACTCTAAGAATGGAAAAACATCGTTTCTCTTTTGCTCTGAGGTGGTGATTCTAGGAAATTCTAACGTTGGAAAAACATCGTTGTTGTTGCATTATGTAAACGGCGATATTCCTAAAAAAGTTCATCGCACTGTGGGAGTGGAGTTTCTGATGAAAACTATTCTCGAACCTAATCTAACTACCAGACTAAAAATCTGGGATACAACGGGTCAAGAGCGGTGAGTATCATACAAATTACTCAGACTAAGTAAATTAAGTATTTTACCGGATTTATATAAAAATGATAAAACGCGAATTCTTCAGCCCCAGGTGTTCATACTTATTTTTAAGTCATATTTTCCTTACAACTAAAATGTAATATAATTTTAATTTTTTTAGATTTAAGGAGATAGTGCAAAGGCAATATTCCAATCACGAAGGTGCTTTGCTGGTATACGATATTCATGATCGAAAGAGCTACAACGACGTGATTAAATTGGCCGAGGAACTCAATGATTGGGTGGGACTTAAATATTGGTTTTCCACTGGCTTTATATTAAATTTCCATAATTTCTAGACTATGAAACCCAGAAAAGTTATAGCTTTAGTGGGCAACAAGGCTGATATTCCCGACCATCGAGTTGTGTCTTCTGAGGAGGCGGAGAAATATGCCGAAAGAAACGGATTGATCTTTTGGGAAACATCCGCAATAACCAACTTCAATGTCTATAAGTGCTTTCACGAAGTCGGTTAGTTCAATTGCGATCTTGGTTTAGTCTTGATAAACTTTTCATTCTTTTTTCAGCAACTGCTATACGAAATGCGAAAACATTACTCAAGTACAGACGGTCAACTTGGTATTTGTAAATAAACAATAAAGTGCATATGTAAGCAAAGTTTCTGAGAGGAAAAATGAGAAGCGAATAATAAAGGAAAAATAAGCAAAAATCGCTGTGAAACAATTTTTATTTTCTTCTTTGATTCTTTGAAAAAAATTAATACCCTTTCGATTATGTATAATAAAAAAACCAGTTTGTGATATGGTATCCCAAAAAAATCCATTAACTTAGTGCTTTAAATTCGGAATAAATAAAATAAAATTAATAACTAAATTTTCACAATACATTTTCCCAACGCTTATACATTAGGGCGGTCCAAAAAATGAAATTCTTTTCTCACCCCTTAACATGGTATATTAAAGTATGCAAAAAATGTATGTGAAAACAAAAATTTTTTTTTTGAGATTTAGACCTTGCGAAACGTCTTCAAAGTTTGCTTTAAAATTACTCATACGACATATAAAACAGTTCGAATTTGGTCGAAAAAAATCGTTCTCCCATTTCTTGTCTTGTCAAATTATGAATTTCGTTGGAATAAAAAGAGAGCAGAACATCAACTGAATTGTTAATATCTATGCCACCTTGATCAGAAAAACTTTTTGATCGAAGGCAACAGTGCGTATGGGTGATAAACTTTGAAACCAATTCGCAGACCCTAAAACACGATTTTTTTGAAAATTCTCTTTTGGTATACCTTGAATACCGCAATACGCACCGTATAAGCGGGTGAGAGTAGGACCTTAAAAATTTCCATACAAATGTGGACCGCCCTATTATACATACATATGCACATCCCGAATGAGTAAATGAAAAACTTGGTATTGGATTTTCGCTTTATGTGAAGTATTTATGGGATTCCCCAATTCCAGAATTGTTGAAATCAACTTCGAGTAGGTGGAGAAACATCGATGTTTGGGGATATCGATCTTCAAATTGGGTTGACTGTTTTCTTCTTAGCTAAAGCACTACACTCTATACTTTTGTGTGTTTTGAATAGGCTGTTTATTAAATTCATTCTGATTTTCTGGTACAATAGATTTAATGGTTTTACTTCAAAAATATCGATGTTTAAAAAACATAATTAGACATCAATGTATCGAAAATCACACCTCTAACCTCGCCCACAGATTTATTTCATTGTTCGCCTCCAGACTTATTATTTCAGTTACTGTGTTTATACGATGCCGAATTCACGCTATCATTTCACGCTTTCGGCCGATTCGTGCTTGTATAAACGCCATTTCGTGAATTCGGCAACACACGAAAGTTGACTATGATTTCAGCCCAAAAGCGTGATTTGGTGATATGCAGTATGGTAACTCTGTAAAAAATGATCGACGTTGCCAGATCGCTAGAAATTGAAGGCCTTTTATAGGCTATATCTCTAATCAGTGGTATTAAAAATTAGATATTTTTGCCGGTCCGGCATCCCTATCAGCTGAGAGTGAATAAAAGCATGAATTCTCGGCTGTCGTATAAACAGGGGTTATTTCTATTTCGCGCTTTCAAGAAATCGTGATTGCTATCGTATAAACATAGTAAGTGTGCAGTTAGAACGCTTTCAAAGCTGGTCGGACGATGTCGTACAGCATAATTTTCTTGGGAAATACCGGCGTTGGTAAAACGTCCTTGATATCGCAGTGTAAATTGGAAAATCTACCATGGACTACTTTCCCTGCAACCGAAATTAAGCCTGAAAAGAAAAAAAATGGTTTGATAACTGAGGTTGTTTTATGGGACACGCCGGGTGAAAAGCGGTAAGTGCAGACTAATTGTGACACTGACAAGCAACACTAATATTTATTTTTGCATTTGCTATTCCGTTCTTGTTGACTAAAATCCATAATATCATCGAAAAACTTAGTGAGATACACATACATACGGGCAATAAAAGAAAAAGAAAACATCATTCGCGTACGTTGAGTTTAGGGGAAGTTACAAAGGAAATATTCTTGAAAAGGGATTTCCCCCGAAAATCGCGAAAACATTATACTCAAAGGACTGCAATTGGCGGTCAGCCATAGTTATATTGTTTGGCTGTAAAAATCATTGGCTTTAAAAATCTCATGCACTTTTCCTTCTTTGTCAAAATAATATAAAATCTAAAATTCCGACAAATTTTCTAGAATCAAAGCCGATCATAGTTTATGTACATATGTAGTTGGCATCACAATATTCTTTATTATACGCTGTTTTCTTTAGGGATTTATTTGAAAGTCGTCGCTAAAAAGTCTTGCATTATGTAGTTTTCAGAGTGAAGTACGTCGTCTATGTGAAAGGATTTATAAAAATGATACGTATGGGGCCGTCCTCGTTTATGACATTCATAATCGGGAGAGTTATGAGGCAGCGAAACAATGGGCCACGGAACTTAAAGCAATGGTAAGTTATCATTTGTACATATTTACATATTGAGTATTATAAAAGCAGATGGTATATTTCAGAAAGAGGACAACATTAGAGAAATTGTGTTAATTGGCAATAAGGTGGACATACCTGGAGGTCGGGTTGTAACCAAGGAAGAGGCCGAAGGATATGCCAAACAGCACGATTTAGGGTTTCAGGAAATATCAGCTAAAACAACGCAAGTTCAGTTTTATCAAGATATTGGTAATAACATTTACATTACGCAATCCTATTCAAATAATAGTAATAAAAAGGGACATTACTATTATTTATTCAGTTAGCAAATTATTTTGCGATGATATAACAAGATGTCGAGAAATGCTTAAAGATTTTAGGTCCCGTAATTCCGAATAAAACCAAGCATCTTTTAAGTTTATTAACCTTTTCTAATTCCCACTTTCTTTTTATTTAAAATTATAACTGATTAAGATGTCTCTCGAAATAAATACATACTTAACCTACAGTTTTGGTTACATTTTTTTCATTTGGGGTTTTGTATTGTATAAGTATTGTATATATATTTTTTTGGTTTGTTTGTATCTTTCTCGCTACTTTGGTTTCCCATTTATAAGAATAATTGTATTGTGTGACTAGCATCGATTTTCCGTATGCCTCTTGATTTGTTCTAGAATAGTCGACTTCGATTTTGAGTTAGTTCAAGATAAATCATAGAGAGTATACGCTAACTTACTACAAGGCAACTAAATGGCTTCAATTAGGAGATTTTTATGCTATTCAACGTACATAGATAACAAGGAGTCGAATATCCAATTAACTAAATTAAAATTAATAGTTAAACAACTAAAAGTGGCAGAAGCTCGTTGAGGGCAGTTTTCGTAGATAGTTGAGTATTGAAATTCGGGAAAATAATCGTGGTTTTCGATTGTATAACAAAAATGCTAAAGATTGCATAACAAAATAATTGGCTCAACAAAAACAATATACATACAGATAAGTTAAGTTTGCATTTTTTGGATCGTTTATCCATATAATCGTTATTCCACTTGAAATATCACTTACGTAAGAGAAGTTTATATCTGATTTTGGTATCGGTATTTTCTAGATTTAGATCCTAGTCTAAAATTTTGTATTGTTTTGATAAACCAGTTAATTTTTTTGTTTCTTTGCTTTCACGGTTTAAGTCTAAACATTGTCTTTTTTTTGTTTTTCATTTATTTCTATAAAATTTACAAAATTACGTTCCATTTCTTGTCTTTTATTCGTCTGTCTTTTATCGATAGCTTTGCCCAAAACTGTGTGTATATATTGATTCTGGTAATACACTTCCTATATAAACTCGCTTATCACTTAGCTTACAAGTAGTTCTCTCTATATATCGCGTCGTCAATTAGGTTCTTTAGAAAGACCAAATTGATCAAAGTGTTCTACAGATTCGTAACTCCGATTTTGCCGATATTCTTTTGATTTCGTTTCCTATACAATTAGCGGCTCGTCGCCGTGCAGATCACACGATCCAATATTTTCGCCCTGGTACGTCGAGAAGTCGCTGATAATCGCTGTGGGTTCGGCTCCAAACTGGATGTCCTGCAGGCAGCCCTTGAAGGGATCGAAGAACCGGCCCTTTGTGCGCCTGCTCACCGAGTCCGAGTTGGGGAATCCGCCTGTTTTGTGAGAAATGATAAAGAAATTCGCTCTTATCAATTGAATTTAAATTTGAATGTTGCCAGTGCTGGAAAATGTAAATATGTGGCTAACAGCTAACAGCACTTGGCTTGGCGCGCCTAACAGCCCACTTTAAAGGCTAACATAGTGGTTTTATTTACTATTTTGTAAGTTTAAGTAAAAATCTTTAATGTTTATTTAGTTTTCTGGTTTTATTTGATGTAATCTAGTTTAAACAATTAATTTATAATAAAATTTGAAAATTAAAAACAAAGTCTAAGCTACTGTTAGCTAACATTTAACAGTGCGCTCAACAGCACAATTACTTATTATATTAAAATGCAATTGATTTTTATAAATTAAGCTTTACCAATTAGGTTGCCAAATTTGTAAGAAATCATGGCATATTTTTATAATTTTAAAAAATGCTAAAACTTAACAGCTGACGTTGTTTAATAAACAATTAAAAAAAACAGCTGTTTTAAGCCACCGAGTTGGCAGCCCAGCTTAAGTCAGTGTTTATTCGGCTCGCGACTTTTCAACAACTAACAATTTGAAGTCGATGTTTTAAGTGTTTAGTGCAGTGATCAATAAAATATTATTGCAAATCTTGCTAAATCGGCCTAACTTCGTTGTTCTCAGTAGTATAAAACAAATATCGATCGTTAGTGCGGGTTTTTTTCCTGTTTTTTTTGCCTATAATAACTTTTCAGAACAAAATTACTTAATTTCGACTGTTTAACAAGTTAAAGTGAACTTAAAGTTTTTATCTATGCATTTGTTAATGTATTAAGTTTGAAAAATTTTAAGTTGTATCATGATACGTTATTAGAAGTGATTTAATTGGTGATAAACTGGTATGTTAATATTTATTTTATAGTTCTTA